TCTTTAGCCTATCTGTTCATCTGTGTGCCGTAGAGAAAAATAAATAGATTAAACCTAACAAGTAAAGGATATTACTATTTTATTTTCAATATATTTCAAATTAAATTGAAACAGAAATTTTCAAACTCGGTAGGGAAAAAAAGATTGATGTTTCATAACGATTCTTATATCGAACTAATGTTACTGAAATTTGAAAAGTATACTTTCGTTTTTAATATTTATTCTTGAATTCTAAGTCAACCTTTTTTTTTTTTTTTTTTTAAGCGAATAATTAAACATTATAAGCTTGATTTCTCCGTTGATGCCGTCACTGATCGAATAAGGAAGGAAATAGTAGAGCAAGGATAGGACCTGCTCACCTTGGGCTGTGTTCCAGGCAAACGCATCGGAGTTCGTGCTATCAGCTGGCATTATGGAAGCGGAAGAATTCTTTATTTGTTATTTATATAATTTATCAGTTAAATTGTTAATGATATTCTGAGGCGTATAGTAATTCTTGTTACCAACGATATCGTGCGTAATCAACGAAGAAAATATGCAAGAAATAAACAGGTTAATTTGACAAAAGAGATTGACCAGTTATACATAACAAACAAATTCTACCATTCATACTATTTTAAATATGAGTAAAAAATCTTTTCTCGTATCCCATCATCCTTAACCTTTGGAATGTTCTTGAAAGTTAAAGCTTTATATTTCATTCTAGATGGAAATAAGTATGTATTAACAAAAAACATATCACAATCTAAACGAGTTCTGATGATCTTAAACAGCTGAAACAATAATTTATTGATAATTCTGTTATTAACAATTCGTTTTGTTAAAAATATCTAGCATTTTTAAACGACTATTGATTGCTAATAATAGGTTTATTAATGTAGACTAGTAGGCCCGTGTGAAAAAATCGCACGGGCATATTGTTATCAAATGCAAAATTATTAAGAAAATAAAACAATGCAACGTATCAAAAGCTAAGGAAATCAATTGTTACTTTATCGGTAAATATAATCGACAGAGGAAACAAAAATTAATTTAAATCTCCATTAATGTTTGAAAACAACATGTTTACAAATTTCAATAAGCTGTATCTTTTCTAAAAATTGTCCGATTTCGATGATTTTTTTTTCCTTTTGTAGGAAATTTAGTAATCTTTTATGTAATCATGGCCACAACCAAGGGAAAAATGTGTAATTTTTTAGTTATTCGCAAATAAAGCTTGTTTTCTTTCAAAACTTGTTTGCCTGAATTTTCGGGGTGATTAGACTATTTTGCCCGCCTGAAGGAGAAGGAAGCCTAAGAAATTGGTGGCTCAATCTTGAGATTTGGTGAAGAATTAACGATGATATGGCTCGCCGATCAAAAACACTATCGATAAATAATATAATGTATAATAGGCAGGATCCGATAGTTCCGCAGGAACTATCCGGGTCTTGCTGTACGCATCAAAATCTTCAAGATCCAATTTGTCCCGTATCGATCTACAGACCTACCACCGTTCCGGTATTGAAGCCTAGCAAAATGTATCGACTTTATTTATTTTAGAAAGAAAAGCAAAAGTGGAGAATACGATTCGCTAAACCCCCATGAAATTCTGAATCCAACGGTACCCCATTCATGGTATTAGTGCCTGACAGGAGCTTATATTTGGTACAAAACCGATTTCTAGCCTTACTGTAATAATATATGTGGAGATGGGGATGTGGGGATTATAGTGCAGTTTTAAATTGTGAAAGACAAACCTTATTCGATTTCAATGATTCATTTGAAAATCGATTGTTCTTTATTCCAGCATTTGTCGTGACCAACTTCTGAACTGCCCACTTGGAGTTTTGCAAGGGTTGTGCTAGTCCTTCACTAGCGGTCAAACGTGTTGGGACAGCGTCGCAACGTTCTTGAGTGGGAGTTAACTTTTAATCCGTGACGAGCCTACGTGAAAATTCTCTACCTTTATACATTAGGATATGTTGGTATACTATAATTATTCCTTCGTTTATATCACGGGCGGATCTACGGGAGGGGGGAGCTTTCGGGCTGAAGTCCCCTCCCCCCCAAAATAGTAAAATATAACCATGTTTTATGAGAAAAAATGTTAAAAAATTATCTCTTAAAGTATTATTGTTCGTATAATTACATTTAAAAGGACTTAAGGAATCACTTAAACACCATTTCATATAGATAGTTAGTTTCTTTCTTTTTTTTCCAAAGTAATTATCGTCATTTTTATTTAAAAAAAAAAAAAAAGCTTTTGGGGCTGTAGCCCGCCCCCAAAATTAAATCCTGGATCCGCTAGTGGTTTATATCATAGAGAAAGGTAAAATGGGAGGGATTTTTACGGTGGGAGGTAACGTTACTCTAAAAATAGAATTTTTTTTTTGTTTCTCAACTTAAATATAAATTGGGGGTAGGGGTTGTCGAGCGGGCTTATGTGCAAAACGCGTTGCTTGACAACCAGTTGATTGAGAAACCAATGTTTATTAGATACAAAATAACTATGATTTCGCGTCACGGTGTCGGGGGAGGTTTTAAGTTAAAAGATTTTAACCACCCATATATATGTGGTAGGGATGCAAAGTGGGGGAAAAAAACTAATAATTATCTTATTTTGAATGATATGTTTCAGTACTTTGATTTTTCATTCACTTTTACTTATAGTTAAAGTGTTATTGTATTTTGTTAACTGCAATCTCAGTATTCATGCAATAGGAATAGATGCACGTAATACAAAGTAGTAAATTATGCGTGTTACACATCGATATTCCGCAATATCTGTACCAAAGAACAATTTTCAGTTTGTGATAGACTTTCTTTGTCATTTTTGAGTATTGAAGGCCAAGCAAGAAAGATAGTAAATCGGTGAAGGTATAATTTAAGTTCCACTGAATCTTTCAAAGCGGGACATTTAAGCAGGGCGTCCACTTGTCCGCGTGGGAATTCTGGTCGCGTGAGCCGTGTTATTTGATGTATTTAACTTTGTATAAAAATTTTGCGTCTTGTGTTTTACATATATTACAGTTAGAATATCGCACCATTTATTTTTCGGACCTCATCATATTACTATAAATTTAAGTGATATAACTAGATCTTTTTCAATAATTCGATATTTATTTACCAATGACCTCTAAATAATATCATGATATCGTTCGTTCAATATCCCTTCCTCATCTTCATTAGGGATTCAGGGGTCAGTTGTACTATCTATTGGCGACGAATGAGAAGATTACGTCAACTGAATGCATATCAGGAAGTCTCCATTGGTTATCAGCTCCTTTGTATGGTATGCAAGGATAAATGGACAATAGAAAAATAAACAAATCCGTTAACATGGTATCGCACAAAGGAACAATCGATTTAAACTTGTCTACTACATTAGTTTTTAAATTAAACTAATAATTAAAATTAGCAGAAGTATATCAAGTTTTGTATCAAACATTTCACTTTTAGTTTGAAGTTTTTTAAAATATTCTTTACATCACTTTATACCAACATATGCAGTGTCACCCATCCTGGACAAAAATTAAAGGCAGTGTAATACACTAGGGAACCCAAGGGAAAAAAAATTATCTTGAAAAAAGTAACTAAACAACCAGGACATTTATTATTATTATTATTTTAATTGAAAAGTGAATTGTATTAAATAAATAACTTTCATTTATGATCTGTACTTAAAAACTACGAATAATTTAAAAAAGATAAATATTTACATTACAAATTTTTCATTTATTGGCGAAAATTGTATTGTCATTTATTAAATAGCTGAATATTGTAGCTGAAGGTAGTCCTTAAAGTGCTCTGATCTCTTAAAAATTACTTTTAAAGAATTTAAGGGAACAATTTTGCAGAAACGTTGTGTTTTAGGTTTATATAAGTGAATTTTCCTTTTAAAGAATTTTGATCGCTAATTTAATGCGAAATACTAGATGAAATAAAAAAAAACTAAAATACACATTTCTCTATATATTTATATTTTTTTGCAATAAAAAATGTATTTGCTCCTGTCAACTTTTTGTTAACAATCAGCAAATGTGCTGGAAATACAAGATTTAAATGACATGTCAGTCATGGGGATGGTATATTATTTTTAACAATGAACTTTTGTGATTTACCAACAAAAAAAAAGTCAGAACCCTTTCAAACTTTGAAGGCTATTCCTAATATATACGTAAAATTCGAAAATCTAATTAAAAAAAAAATCTATTTGTGTCAATCCCCCAAATAGGGCTATTCTGTGTAACTATTAGACAGATTTAAAAAAAAAAAATTATATAATGTTAAAAATTTGGTATAAAATTCATAGGTCACTCTAGAATGATCCTAGGAACTTGACACAACAATCCACTATATTGTTTCAAAATTGGCGCCTTTCTGGCTGAAGCCCTCCCCCTTCTTCCCAAAATGGTAAAATATAACCATGTTCTATGGAAAGAAATATTAAAAAATTATCTCTTAAAGTATTATTACTGGTGTAATTACATTTAATAGGACTTAAAGAATCACTTAAACACCATTTCATATGGGTAGTTAGTATCTTTTTTTTTTTTTTTTTAAGTAATTTTCTTTATATATATAAAAACAAAAAGCTGTTGGGCTGAAAACTGGGCCCCCCCAAAAAAAAAATTAAATACTAGATCCGCTAGTGCTTATAATTATCCTAGTATATTGGGCAGAGAACTAATAGTAATATGATTTGGAAATAAATAAATGAAATATATTATCTTTTCTTAGTTAGTTACAAAGGCTCATTATTAGAAATAATAAACCAAAACATAAAATTCCAATAGGCTGCATTTTAGCTAATAGTGGTCCGATTTTGATGATTCTTTTTCCTTTTAAATAAAAATCTTTCAAATTTTATGGGTGCAATTCATAATAAATTTTACACTTTTTGAGTTATGCTTGAATAAAGTTTTCTTATCTTCATACCTGCATTTGGTAAAATTGTATGAATTATTTGCTTATGAATTATAATGAATATTTTAAAAAGGAAATTGTTTTGTTTCCAGTTTTTAGGTTTATGGTATGCCATCCAGAAGACTTCAACAGGTAGCCGATGCTTGACTTACAACTTCACTCTTGGGGAAGAGCCAGGCGAATACAACTTGGAGCAAGTGTCTGAACATCCAGTCTTAGGAGTAGCATCAGTTGACAACAAATACCATTACACGGGACATTTAAAGGCCAATTCTGACGTTCCATCCAAAATGACAGTGAAATTTCCTTTAAGTAAGTGTTATCTTCATAGTATGTTGTGTCATTGTAAGTAATATTCTTTCATTCTATTTTATCAATGAATTTGGATTATATAAATGAATTTTTAGAGATTCTAATTTCCTAAAACAATATCAAGTAGGGTTTTCATCCCTTACATACAAAATTAAATTGAAATAGGTAATAACCAATAGCATAAACTTTTTGAATAAATGTTTGGTACTGATATTATTGTAAAGGGTGTATAAATATTCCTTCTCCATCACATTCTGTCGAAAACAAATAACCATTGCTATAATCAGACATACTGTTTTCTTACCATCAATGTCTGATCTATTACTCTAGCATCTACATTTTTAACTGATCTATACTCAAGATTGTTTTACGTTGTTAATAGTTTTCATTATATAATCAACTGTCCTTACACATTTCAATAAATACTTTATAATATTAATAATCAGAAGTGTTATTGTTCCAAGTCACTTTGCCATCTCTACTTCTCCACATATTTAAATTTTTAGAGGATATTTATTTTACTTTGATAAAACAGTCGTGAACATGGTCAAGTAATTATAATATTACCATTATATAAATTTGAATGAGTAGATCTCGTAAAATGCCTTGAGTTTTTCAATAATATGAATTCCTTTCATAGTGCCATTAGCAAATTAATTAATACCATTTATTTGCGAGATCCTTTATAACAGACCTAATTGCTATAGGTGTTGCTGGAACATCAAGTTTCACAGTCTTCATGACAGATTACGAAACTTATGCTGGAATTTACACGTGCCAAAAACTACCTGCAGCTAATAGAAGATCAGCTACCATCCTTTCTAGGACGAAGACATTGGATAAGATGGTGATTGATAAGGTGGGATAAGTTGAATCTGTAAAGTATGTTAATAGAATTTTTCATGACTATGCTTCATAAATGAAATTTATTTGTAAAATTAAATTAAGATGTATATACAATGTTTAATCAATAGTAATCCCATTTTATTATGATTTTACAATATGAATTGGGGTTAAAAGGTGAAAATTATAGGAAATTTTTCATTTTAAATATTGTAATTTAATTTCTTAAGTCTAAGCTAACTTAGATTTAGTTTTCAGTTATAATATTTATGTTCTTATCTTACAGATTCGTTCCCGTCTGTCTAACTTCGGTGTCAACCCATACGACCTCAGCATCATTGACCATGCTAAATGCCCAGCAGAAACCAACCTTAATTTCAACATCGACAAGGAAACCTTCTCACCTCAGAGTATTGCCGGTGTTGTCAGGAAAGCTGGTGAAAAGTTAGGAGATGGTGTGGAGTACGCGGCTGAGGGAGTAGGAAAAGTCTACAACCACATTAAGAAAGATGCCGAAGAAGAAGATGGAATGCCATAAAAGTCTGATTAATTATTCCAAAGATAAATGACTGCCTCATTTTAGTTGTTAAGTGGCTTATTTATAAATAAATGTTTTTATACAAACTATGCTTTAATATTCTATCCTGCTTAACTGCCATCAACCATTTTACGTATGATAATTCACATTATTTTATTTCCTTTTATAGATCAATATTGTTTTCAAAACAATGATTTGCCAAATTAGTTCTCTATTTTCTGCACAATTTCATTTCACTTGAATATGAGATTATTCGTTGATAATTTGAATTTAAAAGGACACCATCTCTGAGAAGGAAGTTGAGGTCAAAGTATAAAACATTTTTTCAAAGAACTGTGAGAAGTGACTTTGTAATACATCAAGTGTATAATTTACAAAACAATACATGTTTATAGATGACCTATATGAGAGAAATAAAAAGGGTGCTATTAATAATGTCAAAAGAGAAAAATAAAAAATTGGATTTTTTTCTTCTCTGTTATCGGGACTCCATTAAAACTTTGTGTTAGATATATCGACACTTCATAAAGAAAACAATGAAAACACACTAATTGAAAATGTTGTTCCATACAAATGAACACCAGCCCAAATTAAATAAATTTTATATAGAATTTTAATTACTGCAAAATATAGATAAATTCATAAGGCCACTTTTTAGAGCAAAGTGATTGTGAAATCATCCAGGGGTGTCCAGAAGGGGGTTTCATGACTGAAGTTGTGCCATTAAAATTTTTGAGGGGTGGCACATTTTGACGGGATTTAAAATTTTTGAAGGGGGCACATTTCGAAAGGGTGATAAATTTTTAGAGTAAAAAGTTTTAAACCAGAGATCTAGGGGGAAACATAGAAGATTCCACAGCTAGTGTAATTGTATATGATCTAGAATTTTTCTAATTCTATAGCTTACATTGTTTTTAAGAATAGGAGAGGCAATAATATTTCTGGAGAGAGAGGATAAGGATTTATGCATCATCAACCTTGGGGGAAATGGGCGCTCCTGAAATCAGCTATTTGGATGTCATTCATAACTTTTTATATCTTCCAACATTAAAAATAAGTTATAACTTTGTGAACAGTATCTGGGTAATATAATTGAGGTGATTTCATCCGGGTGAATCAAATGGGCCTGTAAAATTGTTAGGCTTAGTAACGAGAGAATTCCTAAAAAATTAATATTTGCTGTACCGAATGGTAAACATCCGAGGGGTAGACCGAAACAAAGGTGGGAAGATTGCTTTAAAGCCGATCTGAAGGGACTAGGTTTGGCCGGGGAACGATGGAGGGAGGTGTGTAATAAGCGATTGGTGGTGTCATCATCGAACCTTCAGGTTCGCTAAGCCTTTTATTCTTATTATTATTATTATAACTTTGTGAACATATTTATAAATAATTAAGGATTTATTAAGAAGTTGAAGAAATAAAAGTTATTTTAGTTCTATATCATCTTATAGTTAACCAAATAGCTGATTTCACATTTTGCTGCAAAAAGTGGCTTTATATTAATATTTTTCAATATTTTGAGTTTTAAATGTTTATATTTTATATGCCTAGAATTAAATATAAATTAGTGCTACTTAAAACACAACCCCACCATTAGAGAAAACATATTTTCTAAAAAAATATATATTTAGTAACATTTTTCTTAAGAATCTCATTTTAGTTTAATATCATTCAAATCATTAAAATATTATTTTTTTAATTGTGTTCAATTTTCAGTTTGAAGATGGTTTAAATTTAGGGAATTAGACATTATTCAAGGTATAGGGAATAAAAGCTTTCAGTATATAAAATACACATATATTACAGAACATTTCCATTTAAAAAATAATATCACAGTTAAACTGCTAAAATATGGATCCTGAATAATTCATTTTATATATGTATGTGTATGTATATATACACAGGCCATGTTTCAAAAATGGTTTTATTAATTTTTATTTAAAATAGGTAATATATATTTTTTTTTTATTAAAAAGCTATTTGGTTTCATTTATGTCAACCTATTTGTTTACTATTGATCATTTTTTTTTATAAAAAGATTTTCTATTTTTTTAAGGTTTTACAAATTTAAAATGTACTGTCAAAACCATTTTTGAAATAGAATGTCTCACATATAAATAAAGTAGACAATAGAGGCACTGAGAAGATATGTTACTTTAAAATTATGCTTTACAAAAAATATTTCATGTTATTCAGTCAACAATTTTATATTCGGAAGATAAGAAACAAATAACAAAAATCTTCATTTAAATATAAAATAAATTAAAACCGATACAAAAAAAAATTACTGTTCAAAATATTTCATATAACAAACATGTTAAACTATACATATAAATAAATATTATTACATATTGTCAATCAAAAATCTTCACAATGAGTAGCCAATAAAATATATTTATGAGTAGGAATATTTTTTTATACAAATTAACAAGCAGATTTATGTTTCTCTAATAGGATTACTGTTTGAGACAAAACAAAAAATAGTTATAATTTAACAATAAATTTCACTTAGGCCTTAGCTTATAATAAAGTATTTGGTATAATACACATCAGTGTTTCTTAACTGGTTTTCAGCCAAATAAACTTGATAATTTTGATATGTTTTCTAAATTTAAATCTAGGATTTAATTTTGATTGTTTATTGCTTCATACATTGGATACAAAGAGCAAAAAAAAAAAAATATATCTACTGGTCTGCATCATATGCAAAGTTAAGAAACACTGGCATACAGAGGTTTCAAATAAACTCTCCTTAGCATAATACTGAAAATCATTCAGTAAAAAAAAAAAAAATTAAAAAATTAAAAAACAGAGTTAGGAAAAAGCATTATTTAGTATGTAAATTACAATTACTTTAATCCCAAAATTAATAGAGAAATGATAAGTCTATGAATACTGACTTTTTAATTCCATTATTTCTTAATGTTATCAAGTATTTAAAAAGGAGCACATTTATCTACATAGCAGAGATGGACAATTGCTACTCTGATTACTGTGTACCAATTATTTTAAGCAAATTGAATCACCATTGGGAATTCAATCACTACTTCAGTTTCTGACTGAATCCTTTGACATCAACTAAAGTTGTAATTAAATTCTTAGGTACTCAGTCAGTATTTGAGTAATATATTTGGTACTCAGTACTCAGAGTAGCATTTTCCCCTCTCTGTACCCAGCCGACCAAAGGGATTTTTAAAATGTGTCAAGTATTAAAACGGTGGTTATAATTTTTAAATTTATCTACTCAACAACATGATTGAGCATAGTTACATAATAATTTAATTTATCTTCAACTTGGACATTAATGGAAACTTCACACTTTTAAACTCACAAGGATCACTGTCATCAGTCACCTAATCAAAATATCTTCTAGATATTCAAAATTTATCTATATTGCTGAAGTGCGACATGATGTCTCTTATCAGATTTGTAGAATTTTATTTTTTGGTCCTAATGATGGCAGAATATTGAATGGTTGGTTATTTACAAGCATTAGAGAAACTTAAGACTTTTTTGTTTTATGGAATCTTTTAATAAAATCGTAGTGTTAAAAGATAATAACTACACAGAGAACTAAAAAATATGAACAACTCTTGGAAATGAAATGCCAGATATAATTTCAAGTGTGAATAAAATAGCATAGCATACATTTAGAAGCTGTAAGGGGATGCACCACCCGATCCATATGAAAGGGAATGAGATATTGACGATGCTTGAATGCCAAGATGAAATGTTTTTGCAAAGAAATAGGAAAGATAAAAAGTTCAGGGAATTATTAAAAACATCTCTACTAAAAACAAAACTCAATAGGTTCGAAATTTTGTTCGTATAATGAAGCATAAAAAAAGGAAACTAATGAAACCTCAACACAGATAAAAAATCATACATATACATTAAGGAACTTGAATCCTTATTGTTATATACATTCCTGGAGTTCTGCTTGGCACCCAAAAATTGAGAGAGACTAGGTACAAAGTTCTCCAAAATTCATTGTAATTTTTCTGTAAGAATGATATGAATAAAAATATTTATCAATTACATATTGCCCTTAAATGTAGCAGGTTTAACATTTGGCAATATAAACTATTATTATAAAAAAAAAAAATTAATAAATACAATGCCGATACCCAACTCTGTTCTAATCAATACTACACTAATAAAACAATAAATAAATTACTAATAAAAAGGATAAAAAATCAAATCTAATAGCACATTTAATCTCTACAATCATTAAATATTAATCATAAATAGAAGACTGAGAAATTCAATTTATGTATAAATGCAAAAAAAGATGCACTATTCCAAAAAATAATTAGTGCATAAATATGTTAAAAATATTAATATTTTTCACAAAATATATAGATTATTATACGTAGGTAATGCATCCAAATGACAGAAAACTGTATGTGAATTCAAAGTAAATAAGTGAAAAATCTTCCAGTTTAGTTTTGTTGGTCTCTTAGATTCTCTCAAGTATTATTAAAATTGAATAACAGTTTGATACTGTAATCAGAGGTCTCTGAACTATAGCCCACATGCCGGATCGTGCCTGTAAGTACCTCCAATCCAGCCTGTGAAATTTTTTTTTATTACATAGTAAAATTTAGCAAATTACTCACACACAAGGCTATTACAATAATTATGGCATGAGGCTTTCTTGTAGAAAGCTCATTTCACAACTTAAGTGTCATTTATATAACAAGATATATATTTTTCCATCAGAAGCCATAGTCTGTGGGACTTAATGCGGCCTGTTGGACTTAGCAGTGGTCTGCGGGCCAAAAAGTTTAGAGACCCCTGCTGTAATCCAACCAGTAACATCTAAGGACAGCATTTTTAGAGGAGGATAAGAAGGCTGGGCTTTTTGAGGGACTCCCAATAAGAAAAAGGAAAAGAGGCAGAACTAGTCTTCAATGGAAGGACGATGTGCAAGATGTCATCAGACTGTTGGGCAAAAGAAAATAATGGGTGTGTTCACCAAATTTTTACCTTGGTCATCTACCTCTCCGTATACTTATAAGAATAAGCTATTTTTAAATAGCATTCTTATGAATGCTACCAACACCTGATTTTATTTACTTTATTTATTTATTTTTTTTATAATAGTTAATATTATAGAGCCTATTAAATTAAACTAAGGAGGTGATGACAGCGTGTTTAAGATATATTAGCCAAAAATCTTTATAGGACCTGTGGCAGTTTTTAGGTTATAACGAAGAAGTGAGGAATTAAGCTTTTGATAGCTTTCTGGGTATATTTGTCTGTTTAAATTAAAATCTTTAAAAAAATAAATATGGATGAACAGCTGGACAGCTTATTTCAGTGGCTAGATATTTATGAGTGGTTATTAATCACTCCTCTCTAGCTAAAGCTTCTCTTTCTTTTTTTAAGAATGGCTAAACCACTGAGTGCAATTGATGGAACAAATCAGGAGTCATGATTGAAAATATCTTAAAACCTTTAATTTTCACCACTTCAAAATATTGTACCTGGCTAAATTTAATATGTTCAGGATACAATTTTGTAGTCTAACATTGTTCTAATTTTACACTCATAAATATCTATCAACTGCTGTTTTGATAAATACAGTACAATTATAAAGAAAACAAGGTTTAACAAGAACTGAATGGGAGGAAGTGACTTGGGTAGAGATGTTTAAATGAACTGCTAAGTCAGAAGATAGGGGAAAACTGATACACAGCCCTTCTCTACACTCTACCCATTTTCTCATGTAGAATAGGATCATCTAAAGAATTGTCAAAAAATAAGAAAGCGTTAAGATATGCAAAAGGTCAATTTTTAAAAACAAGTAATAATTTGTTGTAGACAGATTAATAAATACTAATAATAATATATAATACATATTTTTAAACAAGTTTTAGTCGTGTTGTAATACAATCTTAAGTACGTGCCATATAGTTTCCAAATAACAATCCTGTCTGACATATTTAAAGCTAAGCCATGAATCTATACATTTTTAATTCATCGCCTTGCTCTAATAAATAAGGAAGACTTTTAAGGGCACTAAATATTTGTTTGTACATCAAGCAAAATTAGATCTACATACAGTTATGCATTAATTGTCAACAAACACAAGATCTAGCTTATGCTTATATATTATAATTGTGCTTTCTATTTTGGTCATTAACAGTAGCTAAGCTCGATCAGAATGACTTATTGAAATCTAAAGCTTAGTGTTCAAATTATAACAGTGATCGATCAAGGAACCTGAGAAAACAAAAAAATAACCTCTATATTTAAAAGAAATTTAAATATAAATGATATCATATAGTTTATCTAGTTTAAAAAATACCTTAACAGTGATCATACATACACTTCCTTGCCGCTTGGGAGCATTACTTAAATTTACATAAAAATAATCTAAAATCTGCTTTAAAATTGACTTGCGACTCAAGCATTTTTCATTTTAACATTAAAATGTTAACAGTGATTACCTATAAATAAATAATTATCTCAATACTAAAATATCTGTGTTCTGAAAATAATTCTATATTACGAATTAGAAGGAAATATCGGATCTATCACATCATTAATGGACCTTAAATACCTTACGCATTATAAATCCTAGCTGGTAACTCTAAACTATTCGGTCCATAATTAATAGAAAAAAAAGTTATTAATTCTGATGAACTATTCTGTTTATAATTCAGTTTCGATGTCAGTTTTCCTTCTGCAACAAGACACTGTCTGAATGGGATTTGTTAATATTAGGCTGCAAAAAAAAAAAGTTCATATCAATTTATTAATAAAAGAAAGCACTTTCATTATATCTGCGAATAGGAATTACAAAAGCCACAGATATATAAATGCAGGGCCCCTCCTGCATTTATTGCAGAGGAGGAGATTATTATTATTATTTATATTTTCATTATTATTTATTATTTGGTTGCCAAACACATAGTATCAAGGCCAGAAGATTCATGCACCCAGTAAAAAATGCAGGGTCTCATAATTACAATTTGGTACAAAATTGAAAATAATTACTTGTATCAAATGAAATATCTAATCTCAAGAAATATTTATATACATAACACATACACACTTAATAGGAGGATGACCCTCCTTCATCGACATTATTATCCGTCTTTTACTTTCAAAATGCGGAAAAATCTGCGTTGCTATAGACTGTAGCGCCTAAACGAATGTAGCGATTTCAATGAAACTTCGCTAAAGTCATTTTCTCGACGCCCTTTAAATTTATCTACATAACATACTTCAACGAAAAGAAGCTGGGAAAAAAGTTATCAGGGATGGTAAAATTAAATTCAGAATAACTGAAAAAGTATACACTTTTTTGGGGATGTTGTATGGTTTTTTAAAAGTTTACGAAATTTCCTAAAAACCAAAAAAAAAATCGTTAAAATCGGACAATTAGGAGCACAGATATGATCTCCGTTTTTTTTTTTTTTTTTTTTTAATGTTCTACTCCAAATGTTATATCTTTTGTTTGGTTTTTAAATTTTTAATGTGTTACTGAAGTAATGTTATTTTTTTTTAGCATATTACTAATGATTAAAAAAAAAGGTTTAGTCCAATAATTGGAATCACCTTTTATTTATTTTTCTTTGTAACCAGAAGGTAATGTTACTTTAGATGTATAATTGTTTGGAAATAATAAACCACTGTGGAATAATTTGCAGCGTTTTTTTAATGTAAAAAATTATTCTAAAGAATAATGGTGTAAAATAATCTAATTCTCAAATTTAAATTATTAATTATTTGTTGGCCCAGTAAAGGTTATTCAAATTAAGTCCATTTCTAATTACTTAGAAATTAATTGAATCTAATGATACTAACCTTATCTGGAGGGACGGTGAGAGTATTGTCAGACTGAACAGTAGGTAGAGTACCCTGTGATTCACTCTCAATAATTCTGATACCAAGCTCTTTTAACACTAAATTCATTTTATCCGGGTATTCTCCATGGCCTAAATATAATTACAAAAATAAAAGCAGATATAATAATATTAATTATATTTAAAATATATTTTATTCTTACGATATCTATTAATTCATACTGACCTGTAACTAGATGAGAGAGATCAATATTGATCAGGTTTGGGTTACTGGATTCAATCGGTTGTAGACCAGCGACAGTGTGCATTGACAGTGTTCTGTACAAGAATCTCAAAAGCCAATCAGTTCTGTAAAATGATGTACAGATATATATAAAAACAGTTATAAATTATAATCACATAACTATGGTGTTATATTTATATGCTGAACATACTTGCAATATGCATTCACTATCTTCCCAGCTACAACTTTTGAGATTTGGTCCCACCTCTTCTTTCGACCAGTGCAAGGGGCACCAATCAAATAAGCATCTAAAATAAGGCCATGACAGTTCTCTCGTTCAGACATTTCCTTAAACGAGAACAAACATTCATAATTAGAATAAGAGCTAATTTTTTTATTCCCCCTTTTTTTTTTTTTTGTGTGTGTTGCCTTATTCACTCCATAAAACTATTTTTTTGGCTACAAAATTAGAATAAATTATTTGTTTTGAACATCACAACTATCTGATTATAGTTAACTTTCTGTTCCATAAAATAGCTATTTTCAAGTAAGACACTCCATCAGTTTATGTCATCAAAGAAATTTAATTTTGGAGTACTGTAACTAACAGGTGTAAAATCCTTCTCTTATACATGTGATGCCTCCATGAATTTTTGCATGGCTTTCATAAATGTATTAATTAATATTTAATTATATAGATTAAAACAATATGAAAATTAAATTTTCTATACATATGCTGAAACAAATAAAAATACCAACAGTGAATTATAATAAAATATAGTGATCTCTTTTATCATTGCTTAATCTAATTGCACTTGGAAAACTTTGGGAGGTAGTTCAGAACGTTCACAGCCTATGATTCTGTGGACAGGAAATGTCTTTGGAAAATCATGACTGAACTAGGAGTTCCTGGTAAGAAGATGAAACTGACAAAGGTGTGTATAAATGACCCGAAATGTCGAATCCTAATACAAGGAGAAGTATCTGAAGCCTTCAAAGTTCAAACGGGCTTACGGCAAGGAGATGGACTATCACCGAAGTTGGTCAACTTAGCCCTGGAGAAAGTAATAAGAGCAACATAACACAAAAATGGAGGGGCCTGTGTCGGAATGAATCATAAAATCCTTGGATATACAGATGACATAGCTGTCCTTGGAAGTAATCATTGAAGCATTGAAAACTCACAATTCTGATAAGGGAAGCAGAGCAAATCGGCCTAAAATTAAATAATAACGAGACAAAATAAATGATAATAAGCCAAAAATTCCACCCCGATAACAATATCTACGTAGATGGAAAATCATTCCTGAAAGTAAAAAAATTCTAACACCACAGCTTCACAATAAAATCAATTAATGAACAATGATCAGAAATAGACTGGTATATAACAAGTACAAACATATTCCATGATATATAAGATACCAGATACCAGGGAAATCTTAATGGGATAGAAATATTTAAGCCAACTACTATAGAAGATATAAGAAAATCATATTTTTCCATCTCTAATATATCAAATTATAGAGAATTGGTAGGGTAATATGGAATATTGTCCTCTGAATATTATGAAAAAACTGTATATTGCGATTCAGCATATAATCTGTCCGGGTCTTGTTTCCTGGTTGTTCTTTTAGTTATAGGACTAAAGTAATCTTACTCTTTTTATTGCTATTGTGTATGTATATTGTTGACAATTTCAGATTTTATATTAATTTGATAATTGGAACTGTTTTAACTGTCTGATTTTTTAACGAATATGATTTTTAATTTATCCTTAAGAGTGTTGTAATATCCGTAATGTAGTATAAAAAGGAAAAAAAAAGAAGTTGTAACAGTATAAGGATAATAATAATTATCATTATACTAAGATAGACTCTATTTGTATGCGGTTCTTTCCTTAAAACAAATAAAGATTAAATAAATAAAACATATCCCACGATATGATGGCACGGAGGTTAAGCAATCCATCTGGAAGGCTCTACATAACAATAGAAGGCAACAGACCACGTGGAAGATGGTCAAAAAGCAGATGGATAGATTGAATCAACAATAATGCAATTGAGCAGCAAGCAGATAACTGGATATAGCCCAAATAAATAGCCCAAGATAGGCAAAGATGAAGAAGGCTTGTTAAAGCGGCAAAAGAACTATAAGATCTGTAATGCCAAAAGAAAAATAAATAAATACATTCATTCTTATGATAAAAAAGTTCCATGCCTATAATATAAATATTCAATGAAAATAACTATATTATTGTTTATAAGAAGCGACAAATTTTCAGTTGCTAGAGGTACAACAAGATAGTTGTAATGTTAAATCAATATGGCCTGCTAATTGAAGATCTTGTTTGTAGTATATTGGATTATCTTTATTTTGATTTAAAAATTTTTTTAATAACATGCCACAGATATTTCGAAAGTAAAATATGTTTTAAGCCAATGAGACGCTGAAATGAATTTGTAACATGACAACTCATAATATAGTTGGATATGGAGATATAGTTGGTAGTTGACGAAATCAAGGAGATGAGGAGTGGTTGATCAAAAAACAACAACACACTAATGAAATTTAATTTTAAATCAAAATTGAAAATAACCATATGTTCAATCGAAATATAAACTGTGGAGGTCCAGATTAAAATGAATTTTTAATATTTATTTATCATACATAAAAGTAAATAATTAATAATTAACGATACTTACTCGTAGGCAATAATATATCACCCTTGCTCCAAGAGAATAACCAATCAGTGTAACAGGTCTTCGGCCATGTTCTCTATTCAATAAAACATCTGCAAGATGCTTACCAACCTAGATACATAATAATTTTTAAAAGAATTTTAAAATAAAAATTAAAGAAATATTTTAAAAAAATTTAAGATGTGATAAATTCTTTTCGTGATGTAGCAAAGAATTTTATACTAAAGCTGAATAGAATTTTTACATATCACTAAACCAAATAAGTGCTATTTAAATGTTGGAAAAAGTTTTTGTAGCAGGATTTGTTTTTGTATCAGTCATAGTTAATGAACGAATTCTTTTTCACTAAAGAACTCTAAAATATTGTAATATACACCTTTATTGGAAGTGGGGAGAAATGTAATACACACTTTTATTGGAAGTGAGTAAAAAGGGTTTAATAAATTAATGTTGAACAATTAAAAGGCAAGCTAATCTAGTTCTACTAGTGCAGGGAAAAGAAAATGGCTGCTCTGTAGTTTCCAAAGAAGGAAAATCCCAAAGAGGAGAGTGACAAAGGTTTTTGTTTTGGCAAGCAGTTGTTGTGCGGCAGCACTTAAGAGAGGATATGAGAAGTGATCCTGGCTCCAGTGGATAAAACCCAGTAATAGTATTACTATCTTGGAAGTTGTTGTTTGGCAGACTAGTTATTGTTTGAAATTACAAGAGAGAGGATCTCCCAGGGAACTTAAGTTGAATAGAAGAAAGTGTCATCATTCTGGAAGATGTGTTTGGCAGAACATAGGAAAATATTAGAAGACAAATGAATTTAGTGTAACAAAGGAAGAAACAGTGTGTATAGAAAAAAGGTTAGCTTGCCAATTCATACTTGACTTTATTTTAAAATCAGTGTTTAATTTTAGTATAAATAATATATTTAATTTTAGTTTGTTTGAGTTGATCTGATTGTCAGTAACCCACACATGAGATAAATAAATATATTAATTCTCTTATAATTTTGTTTATTATTAAACAACCTCTTATTTATTTAGGAAGTATTCCAATGGTATAAACTGATCTTCCATGAAGTCATATTATTATTTGTAAAATATAAGAGGGATGTTACAATATGCAACAAAGAAACCTAAAAATATTTCTTTCTTTCTTAAGCAATGATACAATTAAAAAGTCCTCACAGTAAAGTAAATAAAGTTTAAACATATTCCTTTATAAAATTATGATAATAAAATAATTATTTTATAAGCTAAGAAGAAAAACGAAGTTAAATGTAAGGAGAGTTGGTCTGTAAGATCAAAATGAAAATAAAAGAAGGAAAGGAAACTGAATATTATCAATAAATAATAAACAGAAGAAGGAAGAATATTATCAATTTCAGGAACATGGAAGATATTTTTATGTTAGATAGAACTTTAAAAAACAAGTTACCTGAGCAGACCTTCTACAGCAAACTCCCCATGGGTTATCTATCACGGAAGCAAATCCTAAAAGCCCAGCTGGCCATGCTATAGCGCTTACAATACCTAAAAGCACATTTTAAAAGAATAAATAATTCATAAATCTACTAAGCAGTTAATTACAAAAGTGAAAATTTATCTTAATAGTTTTTCTTATGGTACAACATTCAATGAGGAAAAAAAAAATAGAATAAAATAAGAGCTTGTTATTGATTTGATTTTTATCATTTTAAAATGTATGAAAACTTAAGTTCTACTACTTAAATTCAGGATGGTCAAGAAATTGTCAGTATAACTAGCTCGATCTAAATTTTTACTTAAGTCTAATATGTGTAGATCTTCGACAGTTGTTTTGGTATATACAGGGAAATATTTATAGGAGTGCTAACATACCTCAAGAGCTACACAAAAGTTGATATAAACAATTGATCAATTTTAAACAGAAAAGTTGGAAGTCCAAATTTAGTGTTTTTTAAAATGTCATGTTTTATATTGAATAGGAAGCGATAGGTGGTAGGTGGTAAATTTTTAATTTAATATTGCTTCACTGTAAACTAGACAAAATTTTTAATAATTGTAATTGGTTGACTGTCGTGGATAATGAAGAGAAGAATAGTTGGGGTGTTCAGTCAAAAAGGACTGAATTCCTTTTTGACTGAACATCCCAACTAGACAAAATTTTCTTCAGATGAAAATAGGGTTTGTCATTGTTAAAACCATTTAAAGGAGACTTTTGTGCAGCTAAATTAAGCTATGTTCTGTTTTAAAAAAATATAAATTATTCACGATTTTTTTTTTATAATTATCCAAATGTACTACAGATACCCTATTTTTAGATAAACTTCCTCGTTTAATAAGCTTTAAGTCAATAATAAATAAATTGAGGTTTATTTGCCAAAAAATTCAGATTCACCTCAAGTTTCTAGAAAAATTATGAGATTTATTATCCTGTCAACTAAAAGTACCTGTGTTTTCAGCTAAAATGAGCACGATTAACTGTTGCAAAGCTTTAATTTCTTGTTTTTCCATGATCTGTGATGTATTGTAATAAACAAAATCGCCTAAATAAAGATTTTTAAAATTTTTTTTATTGAGTATTAATACAGTCTGCCACGCTGAAGGGCATTGGTACTAGGGATATAATATTCATTCACGCAATATGTACATGAGAAAGGAAAAAAAAAAAAGATATATAAATAAGAAGATAAAGTAAAATAAGATAAGTAAAATAACAGATTAGCCGAATAATAACAAAATAAATAATAAACATTCACACCTATGTACAATAAAACATTTTATTAAAAAAAAAAAATTAAAAATAGATTTTTCAAATATTTTTCATGTAAAGTGATTATAAAACTGTGCTTTTCTCCAAGATATCTGTCATATAAATTGATCTGTATCTATAAGTGAAGAACTTAACCTTTCTGATTCAAATATTTACATTTAAAATAAAGAAACCTACTGATTGCTTCAATTATTTTCATAAAAACATAAATATTAGGATCAGAAAGATTAAGTTTGTCACTTTTATAAGTATTTATATACAGATCAATTCATGTGACGGAGGTCTTTAAAAGGATTAGACATGACAGCTTAGTTTAGCTGCTCAAAAGTCCTCTTTAAATGGTTTTAGCAATGGCAAACTCTATTTCCATTTGAAGAAAATTTTATCTAGTTTCCAGTGCAGCAATTTTTTATTACTTAAATTAAATATTTCTTTAGTTATCGCTTTCTATTCAAGAAAACACAACTTCCAAATTTTTTGAGAAGGAGTTAGTCGAGGGTGCGGTCAAATAAATAAAAAAAAATAAAATATATAAATTATTTTAATTTTTGCCGACGTTTCGACCCATTTTGCAGGTCGTCTTCAGGGCGTAGGATGTGGCACTGCGGGAGGCAGTTGAAACACTGGCAGTGGTCCAATTTTTTGCTGAAGATTGATCAATTCTATATATGAACTTTTTGGTAGCTCTAGAGGTCTGCTACCACTCCTATAATAATTCTCGGTACTTGTGAGCGACACGGGCTCTATGGACTGCTATCTGTCAATGTTTATAACCTGAACACTGATAATTGTGATAAGGCACTGATAATCCCTATCTGCCAATGTTTATAACCTAAACACCTAAACACTGATAATCCTTATCTTCATATGAAATTAGGCTCTCCTATAATAAGAAATATAAATATATTTGGTGTTGACTCTTTTTTGCCTGTTTCTTATTAATATATAAATATATAAATATATATATATATATATATATATATATATATATATATATATATATATATATATATATATATATTAATAAGAAATATAAATATAATAGTAATATATTAATTTAATAATAAGAAATATAAATAACAACAACACTTTAAATAACAAGATAACTGCAGATAGCAGTCCACGTTGCTCACAAGTACCTAATTCTCCTCTACTTACCGGACACCCTTTATAGACAAGCTGTGAAGTGAATACAGCTGTGATTTATTATATACTGTAGAGGAAACATGGAAACAAATTTGAATATTTGGTCTGATTATCCATTTCCAAACTATTTTTGCTCTTCCTTTAGTAAAGGATGATCTTTCTGAGAAAAAAAGAGTAGTTGTAATCCAATAGTGCATTGTAATTCCAAATGGAATAGAATATAATAGAAATTAAAAGTTAAGTATTAACCATGATCATCACTTTTCATTAAAAACCGAACTGCCTGAAGTGCTCAAATAATTATCCTTCCTCTCCCCGTACCAGGTAATCATCAGCCCCAGAAGGTAACTTACAACTATTGGGCATAAAAATGACAACCCTTGCTAGTATATCAAGAATTATTACATGGTATTAAAATAACCAGGATATTAAAAATAACCACCAGGAAGTAGGGTATACGTAGAATCTGCTTCGGAAAAAGACATATGAGAAGTAGTCAGCAGATTGACCTTGAAGTACCATAATCCGTGGATTCAAACTGATTTGTCACTGAAGCTAGAGTTTAAATCTATGTTGGTGGGAAGAGCATAGCATTAATTAACCCCAATTAATTTCTGACATATTGAACTATACCAGACTAAATTACCCTCTCAAAGATATCTGTTCACCAATAAGAATGTCTGTAAGTAAATCACATCTTCATAGTCTGTGGTCTTAACAGAAAATTAAAAATATATATATACAAAAAAAATGCAAGTAATACCTGAAAGTATTGTATACTTCAAAGCTTCTTGAGTAGCCATTGATATAGCAATAGAAGCAATATATTCTATTGCTTTTCCAAGTTCTAATAGATACTCTGATTCATAGCGCAAGTAATACTGCTCACGAGAAGCAAATAGGCATTTCCAAGGTCTGGTAAAATCTTCTTCACTGAAACAAAACAGTTAAATATTTAGTTGATACAATTAACGCCTGGAAGATGAAATTATTTTTACAATGTTTAATTATAATACAACTATGAGGTGATATTTTGTAATACAACAAGGACAATAATGGAATAATAAAATATGATTATGGAACAAAATTTTGTTTTTATTATAATTTAGTTTCATAGAAATATAAAATACAGGATGTTTCGATAATCCAAATACATAGATTCCATGACCTGTTAGGATTATCAAAGTTTAAATTTAAATTTATAGAAAAATTACACAATGTAAGAAAAATATATTTATTATCAGTTAACTATTATTTCTAAAAATAATAATATACAAAATTCCTCAACTTCTGTATGACCACGTACATTTAATGTCTTTTGATCAGAGACACCACAATACAACTTCAACACTATTGGGATGAATTTGACTGTTTTTCTTTTTTTGTCGCAAACGGTAGATCTTCGAACCTCATAATTTTTAGAAATCTTAGTAACACTCTTTCCAAACTCTAATTTACCTAAGATTTCACACTTTTGTTTCAAAGTTAGTGTAACATGTTTCCTTTTGAAGCTCATATTTTAGTGATAGACAATTTACAACAGATAAACACAATCTAAGGTTTGGGACTTTAGAAGTGTAGCAGTCAAGGATTTGACCCAGCTTCATTAGAGCAATTTCCTACTAACTCTCCCTCCCGTCTCTTATCAGTCAACTACAACTTTTTTTTTCTTGTTTGGATTATCGACAGTTTCAGATTAACTAAGGTTCGGATTATCGACACTGTCCTATATTTTTATAGAAAAGTATTGGGTCACGATTTTTGATACATAAATAAGTTACATAACAGGTACTGAACAAAGTTGAGATAACATTAACTTGGTACTAGTTCACAACAGTTCCGCACGGATTACGTATGGTTCACAATCACTTCGATCACACTTGTTCCTGGAATCCCGAATGCGTTTGTGTTTCTCCGAAAGAGAACGAAGGCGACCGATCTCTTGGGCCAGTTACTATTAACTTTCCCGCCATTTAAGTACTTTAACCTTAACTAATTTAAGTAATTTAACGCCATTTAAGTACTTTAACCTTAACCACGTTCAGTTATATAGCAGGAGCAGATTTACATTTAGGCTACACATCATGAAACCTGAATTGAGCTTGTACATATATTATAGATCTGTTAAAAAAAAATAGTAATACATAAAAATCTTTAATGATTACATCTCTGGCTGCTATTTCACGATATTATTTTTCTTATAGATGATTTCCAATATTCATTATCTTTGAATTATTACATATTCTTCGTCAGTTGTTTCCCAAATACGTTAATTCCTTTCTCGAAAATAAATATTTTTTTTTGTACCATAGCCTACAATAATCCCTTTTTTCGGATTACCAAGAAAAATAACTGCGAATAACAATAATTACACATCATAATTACAAATCAGACAGTATATGCATACAAAGCGCCCCCCTCCACTAGAAAATAGCCCCTCGTATTATTAGAAATCTAAAAAAATATGTAAACTAGATAGACGATTGCGCAATTCTAAAAAAGGCTTGCTAAAATAAATTATAAATTCAATTATTCCAACTTCAATTGAAAAACTCGAATAACAAAAAAAAAGATAATAGATAACTTAAAATTATTTATTATCCAAATGATAAAAAATCTTTTATACACAATTATAAAAGATAATATACAGTATATGTGTATTTACAGCCACTACATGTAAGCACGTGTCAATAAAAATGTTATTACTAAAAGCTTTTTTTTTAAATAGGGCTTGAAGAAACTACTCAAACATTATTTTATGTATTTTTTTCTTTTTTTTCAAAGTAATAACCGTTATAATAAAAATTAATAATTAACTAATTAGTAAATACACAATTTTTTAATAAGGAAGTTCCATAAAGGGAATACGTTGTATTTTTTTTCAAAAATGCATGAAAAGGGATTGTATTATGGGGCAATAGCTGACGTCATAAAAGATGACAACATTCGGCTGTTTTCGGGATTCCATGAACAAGTGTGATCGAAGTGATTGTGAACCACGCATAATGCGTGCATAACTCTTGTGAACTAGTACCATTAACTTTTCTTGGAAAAAAAGAAAAACAAGGAATTGAGGGAAATTAAAGAAGTAAAGGCTAAAAACATTGACTGCCAAATAAGAGATATGTGATTAAATTAAATTGAATTTTTACACAGGAATCCTGAAAAGAACCATGGGAGTCAATCTATTAAACACTGCTTATAGAATTTAGTACCAAACAATAACCATTCCGCTTAGGACTTTCATATGAACATAATTTTTTACCTTAACCTCAAATAATAATTTTGTACCTTTCATCTTTGATCCAGCCAGAAAGAGCAATGGTAATGTCAAGCTGTGGAGTAGTCACAGAAGCAATATTATCATTGCCGATGCCTTGAGTTTGCAATTGTCCAAAGCCAAATTCTTCTATTTCACCTACTCTCTTGTTCATCTTATACCCTTAAACATTTCAATATTTATAAAATTATAAATACATTGCATATATGCAAAAAGAATTTCTTAACATTATTGGTAAATCACAAAATACGCTTATAACAAAGATAATGATTAATTTATAACAACTAATTAATCCTTAATTAAGAAAAACTACCACCGTTTATCTCTTCTTCCACCCAAATAATAAAATTCTTGCAAAGTTTTATTAAATTAAATTGTAACATATATATTGCAACATTTCAACGGTCTCAATTGGGTCATTTTCAAACAAAATATTATATATGTATCCAATATAATCTGAAAATATATTATTATATTACTCTATCAGAAGAATTTGTTCACTTTTTATCACAATATTTTTTTTATCGTTGCTACTTGGTTAAATTAGTCTTGGTGGTAATATTTTATTCTAAATTTGTTTTTAATGACAGAATAAATTAAAAATATAATTTTATTATTAAAATAACAATATATAAGGAATTTATTTGCTCAGAAAAATTTATTTGTTTTATAAGCACTGCTTTTAAATATACTTCTCTCTTTTCTTATTTTATCTATCCTGATTTTTCCTAATATTCTTCATTAATATTTCATTCATAAAGTACAGGATAAACATTCTTGGTATCTCTGGAGTAAAAAAAAAAGTTTCCTCCAAAGATGTTATATTTTGATGTTGTAATAAATTTCTTCTGTTACTGTTTTTTTTCCAAATGTGAATCAAACAACATTTGCCTTATTATTTCAGACTATGATTCAATGATTGACATTTTTTGTCAAGATTTTTCTTATTTATTTCTAAACAGTGATCTTTTTAGTAATGAAAAGAAAAATATTTATAATATAACAGTTGAATGATGGATTTTTTTTTCCTTATTCACTTAAGGTGTGGTAATTATAGTTGGGAAAATCAGTGGGATGGAATCCCCTTTAGTGTATAATATGCATCGTAAAAGGATAGTGAGAAATTGTGATAGCATGGCACTATGATACGCTAGCGATGGGAGTCACTTGTCTTGTGTCGGTCAAGTTAATTCGTTAGTTCTATGTCTGATCTAGTCTGGGACTTTTTGAACATATTTTTAACCTCTGAGGCCATTCGAAAGGAGTCAGTGTCTTAAGTCTACTTTAGTGATCAATAACCTAATAAGAGGTATAAATCACATTTAAAAATTTTAGCAATTGAGTAAGGACAGGAATTTTCATAGAATATAAATGCCTATCTTTGTAAAATCTGGTTCGACAGACCTAAATATGACTGGACTGACCTTTTTTACTAATTTAGTTTTATAACTTCTTAAATGGTTAGTGTTTATAAGCAGATTAAAACCAATCAAAAATTTTATTCTAACAATCAAGTACACAAAATGGAATGCAGTAGGTAAAATAAGCTACTTGTGTTCATCGTAATCCTCTGTAATAATAACCAGAGTTCATCATAATCTAATTGCCTCAAAGAATGTTCAGTCCACAGTGATGTTATGCTGTCTCTGGAACTCCACAACTGGGGCATAGGGGTCCTTTCCAAGGCCATGCAACTTAGCACGGAAACCTCCATGCCCTGTGAGGAATTGTGAGACCCAATATTCCGGAGTAATCAATTTAATAACAAATAACTAAAACATTAAGATTAACTAAATCAAAATATATAAAAACATCATGTACCAGCAAGACCTGCACCAGCAGCACCAAATAAGGTTCCCACCATGGCCGCACCAGCTCCATAACCTAATGAAGCTAATACCGCTGAACCTCCCATCAACGAGACAAGGCCGGTAGATATAGCTGGCGCTGCAAGCCCACCAGTCACACCTAACAGAAAAAGAAAACATATTATCAATAATTATAAAATAAAAATATATTCTCCAGTGTATGTATTTTTGTTAATGTCAAATATTCTACATGATACTATATTTTTAAAAACCTTGAGACATCGTTCTTCTTTCAACATAAGCCGACATATTTCGCATCCATGAAGGAAAGATAATTTTTTAATAATTCTAACTTTGAGTTTTTTAAAAAGCATACACAAATGAATTTATTTTCAAACTTATTTTCTTTAGTTATCTCAAACCCAAATATTTATATCCAAATACTCAAATACTTAAAATTCTCTGCGAATGGAAACAAATTCCTCATTATCTAAATTTTTCAAACTAAATGTATATTCCTAAAATCAAATATTTATTTTGACATCTTATTCTTTACTAGGGCTCATCAAAATTATTGTATTCAATTTAATTGTTTCCCATTTTCTTTTAACAGTTCCAAACCATTAGCAAACCAAACCACTTGTACCAACCAGAGTTAAACCTACTTGAAGTTAAACTACCAATAAAAAAACAAACAAATTAAGCGGGATAAAGGAGTAACCTAATTTAAATTAAAATTCTGAAATATATAAAATATCAGAGAAGATAAAGCAGTGAGTGAGTAAAGTAATCTCAAGAATATATAGGATATTACATACTTTATTTTGTACTATGTTAAAAAAAAAAACTATAATCATACCAATGAGAGCTCCACCACCAAGAGTCGCTAACCCAATCAGAGCATATCTTTTGGCCTTTACAAGCCTTTCACGATTACGAGATTTTTTCTTTTCTTCTCTAAAGCAAAAATAATAATCTAATAAACGAATCATATACTCAATATCATATAGTTACAAATATCAAATAAGTGTAATTGTTTCATAATTCAATCAAAAGCATTGATTAAAAAAAAAAACAGGTGATACAAAAAGATGTTTGTAATTTGGAAAAAAAAAAAAAAAATGAAACTAAAAGGAGCAATACTTGATATGGCTTCTGTTTTCAATTCATGAGTGATTAAGTTCTATAATTACAAATACATTAATCTAAGTGAGAATATAACGCAGTGTTGATTTCAAGAATTTGCAATGTTTAAAGGGCATTAATTTGGTAACAGAAGAAAAGATTGTTATTACTACAAAATATCACATCTGAGAAAGAAACATTTTTTTTTTTTTAATTTCAGATATACCAAGAATGTCTATCCTACCTAGACTTTATGAATGAAATAAAAAAATGAAACGTTTATGAAGAATATTGGGGAAAATCAGGAAATAGAATAAGAGAATTCCTGATACTCTAACTGCCATTAAATAGAGTGCTAATAACTTAGATGGTATGGACAGATCTGTAGAATGGGATAAGAAATGTATGGAAGCTAGGTCAACACTGGAAGAAACCACCAATTAGGTGTAGAAGATAGTATCTGGAGCAATCCAATAACTATCTCAGGAAAGAGGAAAACCTTAACTCGGTTGAAGGAATTAGTGAGAGACCGAGGTGTGTGGTCAAAGTGGCTGGAGGTTCCTCCACGCTGAAAGGCACATAAGAAGGAAGACAAAGAAAAGAATTTTATATCTGCAATAATATTTCACAGACGATGGAGTTTTATCATGTATTCCTAGTAAGCAATAGTCATTTCAGAAAATCTCTTTTTCACCATCTTGATGGTCAAGGGTGATTAATATATGAGCTTTTTAGTTGACAGAATGACTAAATCCAATTTCAACATTTTTGAGTAAAGTCATTTTAGTCATATTTCTAGTTGGAAAATTCATAATATCTGTACAGAGTAAGTTGATTGCAGTGTTGGAATATAGAACTATGAATGAAAGTATACATTTTTCCACTAAAAATATCAGTAAAATTAATAATAGAAAATGTTGAAATTGGAGTTAATGATTCTGTCAACTAAAAGGCTCATATATAAGGAATAATAAATAATTTTGTGATTAAAGAGAAAAGTTATGTGTAACAATTATTTTTTAGCATTGTATTAAAACAACATTAATTCATCATGCAAAACTCTACTTCATAACATACTATTCAAACTGCTAGAGACTAGAAACTATACTAAATAAAGTTAAGGATATTAAGGGTACTATTGAAAATTTTATACTAGACAATGAAAACTCACTCGGTAGGTACATGCTCGTCATTCGTGAGACAATGAACCACTGTAATTTCATATAATTCCATTTCTTCAAATGGGGCACCAAAAAGTTCTGCTAGGTGCCTGATAAGAACTCGCCACCGAGCATCATATTCACCTATTATAAAACGGTATTATGGAACATTGAACAGCTAAAGGATGATTTGAAAAAAATGAATAATAAAATAATTACAATATACAAATAAACAATAATTAAATTGTGTTAAGAGGAGTTCAAAATATTAAACCTATATCTATTAATGAAATTCTAAGAAAAATAAACAGGTAGACTACAGTTAAAATTACAAAATTTAATGCAGAAAATTCAAAACTAAATTTCAATAATTAAAAAAATAATATTAAAAACATAAAATAAACATGCAGATTGCACACATTTCATGCATGTTAACTTGTGTGGTTTCTGAAGTAAAGAGCCCTTACCAATGGTCAATCCTAAAGAGAGAGGACGTAGCATTTAGAAAAAGAAAGACAAATTAAAGCCGGTTATAATAAAACATATTTTAGCTTGTTTAATCAATATTGTACCTTCTTGAACAGCAATGGCAATCAGGTCTTGCAGAAGAATATTAAGATTATTTTCTAAAACTGTTTCTGATTTTAAAACATCAAGGAAAGATTCCAAAGAGTTTTCCATCTCTCCAGTGACAAGCAATTCCATGATTGGCATCACCTGAAGTCATATAATTTAATATTAAGTATAAAAACATTTAAGTTAACAAAACAGGGCATGAAGTGTATAATAACAAAAAAATAAGTCAAAGCAAGAAATAAGATAGAAATGTAATTATGCAGATGCATGAACTGTAAATATTTACCAAATAGTTCTGGGATCAGTAATTGTATTACTGATTACATACAATTACTCAAAAAAAATGTATCCTTAATAACTTCATATAAAGGAAAAGTTAAATTAATATATAAAAGCTTCGACTTTTGGTATTCTTATTTTTCTCAAATCTATGTTTATCAGAATGATAGGTATTTTATACAATTGGCAAATTATTAAGTTACTATTCATGAGTTATGCAAATATTGAAGTCACAAATAAAGTTAATGGTTTCAAGGATTGAAGAAAATCATGATTTGGCTTTCTTAAAAATTAGTATTTTATTGTATATCTGTCAGCTTCATAAAATACAGTTGATATGTTTAAATTAGTATCTCTAAACTCAAAGAGGATCAACACAACTCAAAAATTGACTTTCAACAGGTCGATATTTTTTTAAGTGTATATATCTGTATATTTGTAGGTCTATTACATGTTTATACATTACTACATCAGAGAAAAGCCTGCACAACTTAAAAATTTACTTTTAATAGGTCGATACTTTTTAGAGTGTGTATATGTGTATATTTATAGGTATATTAAATGTTTATACATTGCTATTTTAGAAAAAAGCCTAAACACAAAAAGGAATGATTTTTAAAATTTTACATAATCATAATCAACAGGATGATCATTATTAAACAAAATTTGAAAAAGTTTAAAGTTTGCAGATGCGCTAGTCTTTTTCCAAGCTGGCAATATGATTTCATCATTAAATGTAATCATTTTGTGTTTCAATTTTCTTTATAAATATGAATATAAAAATTAATTAAGCATGAATAAAGGAATTTAACTCCATAGTTAAGGATTCCTTTGAAAAATTATAACACTATTCAAGTAATTAGAAAATAACAAAAGTTCAAAATACTAATAAGCAAAGCCAATAATATATGGATATACTATTATGTATGTTTCATTAGTAGTACCTGTTTGGGTAACTGAAGATGTTTCACAATGCATTTTATGCATTTATCACAAAACGGTTTGTCCCAATCATTATTATTAAGTTTATGAAGAGTTACAGCACATAAGCCAGCATAGCAATATTTACCAGCATCTGTCAATGAATCTGCTAAATCTAAAATACCTATGGATCAAAATAAAATAGAATTATATGTAACTTAAAAATGAAAGCATAGACAAAATTAATTTATTACGTTCATATGGTTCCATATATAATGTATTACGTTCATATGGTTTTGACTTAAATGATATGTAGTTAGTATAGCAGAAATAAAATTGTACTTAAATAAAAGGGCTTATCACTCAATTATTCATAAACTATATTTCTTTCTATGTAAAGATCTTTACATTTATCTTAAATTTACAAATTTATCCTGTATTTAAACCCCACAAGCCAAAAAGTTTTTTTTGTTTTTTTAACGTTAATGTAAAACTGATTTTGTTAAATTAATTAATATGAAAAGATATTCAAGATTTAAAAAAAAAATATTGATAGTAACTCCATGTATAATGTTTTACAATTTTATATTACCTTATTCAAAAAGTGAAAACATTCTCTAAATATGCTAATTTATAAATATATTTTGTGAAATCCTTCTTCAATAGATAAAAAAATTTTTAACGATAGTAATTACATTCACAAAAAAAGGGCAGATTTTATTATTAGTCTCGGTACTAGTTCACGAGAGTTCCGCACTTACCTTAGTCTCGATAACTTTATACTATACCATGATCAGTTAAAACAAATACAATTATTTCAAATAAGATTGAAGATTGCTCTTGAATCAAAAATACTCGATTCAATATGCTATTGAATTTAGTTGACTTTTCCATGTAAAATTAAATTGAGTAATAATCTCAATTTATCTAATAGATAGAGAGACCTTCAGTAAATTAATTCTGTATAAAATAATGTCATGGAAGAGATGTCGCTGGGTATTTTTCTTTTTCATGTCTGACATGCCATTATTATTTTATTTCTAATCTTGACAGAAAATCCACTGTATAAGACATGGATGGATGTAAAAATAAAATTAAAAAACAAAAATATCTAGAAGGTTCTTGAAATAAAAGTAGTGAAAAAACACTGATTCTAGGAAAATATTTTTTAAAACACTATTGAAGTAATAAATAAAGAAAAATCATAATGAACCTATAAATATCAGAGAATGATTGGATATCATTAATAGTATAATCTTTGTTTGAACAACTGTTGGATGTAATATTGTAATTACCTTCAGTAACAATTCCTTCCTCAACACCTTCAAAATCTTGACTATGAGATAAAGTGTTCTCGAGTTTTTTCTCACTCATTTTAAGGAGAAAATCTTCATAAAATAAGTAAATATGATCATATCCTGTATAAAATTATATTATTGGACGGTACCGTTACCACACTAATCATAAACTTTCACTAGTATCTAATGTCACTAGTACACTGAGGCTTTAATCGTAAAAAAAACTAAAACTAATACAATACGAAGTCAAAATAAACAAAAAGAACCTTCCTCCTCAGAGTAAAGGGGCAAACTGACACTGACACTTCTAATCGTCAATAGCTGGATAAGTTATCGATAGTAAAATCTCGATTTAAAGTGAATATCGATAATTCATTGTAGGGTTGCTTTTGGTATAAACTAGTTATAAAATATTATAAGTCAAAATAGTATTGTGAATTTATAATTAAGGGTAATCTTATTGTGTAAGTTCATTTAATGTAATGATTGGAGTAAATCATTCATTAATTAACGTCGATACGACATTCTTATAAATTTTGTGGACATTGCTAGAAATAAATATTTAATGAACGCAGCGGAAATATTTATTAGAAGAATTATAAAAATGACTTCCCGAAAGAGATATTATGATAGAGAGTAGATATATAATTCTAAAAATAAAAATGAGGATGCCTTAACTATCGAATGAATTAATCGACGCAATCTCGATGTATTGAATATGTTAGTCGTCCAGAGAACAGTTTTAGCAACAGTTGGTCAAAGGCATTTATCAGTGCGCATGAAAGGGCATTGTCCCCCACTCCTGCATTGTTGGATGAGAAAGTTAGGTAATTTGTTAAGTGATGAAATGATGGTTCAAGTATTATTTATTCATTCTATTAAATTCATCTGTGTACGTTTCAAATTATTATATTAGTTTGTTTTGTAAAAATAATAATTTATTTCTATATGGTAAAAAAATAATAATTAATTTGTCATTTATATAATAATTTAAAGTTTATACAAAATCTGATTTGCAATTTTAGTAAATCGTATGGTTTTCGGATTTGGAATAATATAAACTTAACGTAATAAAAAAAAAACAACGTCTTTTTTGAGATAAAGTACAATTGAACAATTGTCATCTCTGGTATTTGCAAGTCAAGGTTTCATTATCACAACCAATAGTTTCCACTACCTATCATGTTCTTATGGATTATAATTTATAAAATGGAATAAAAAATGCCTGTACTACTACAATCCAGGAAGTGATTTGCCAATGGTTATGCAATATGATCTAGGATCTAACTCAAACACTAGATTTTCCTCAATTTAAGAGTTAATAGAGTTAACAAAGGCTAGGTTCGATCGCCTATAAAAAGTAAATAATTACCTGCCACAGCAGAATCCGAGATCTAAGAAAATAGTGCCTTACTCATTGAGCTACTCCGCTCTTTAAAATATATATATATATATATATATATATATATATATATATATATATGTGTGTGTGTGTATATATAACAGCAGAGCCAGACTAAAGACGCCTCAGAACAGCAGAGCCAGACTAAAGAAGGAAGCGGAGAGGTGCTCCAGCCTAGTATCAGAGTGGTGCGTGACTAACTATGGCCGCTGCCAAAATGCAAGCCATACTTATAGGAGGCTCCACGGACAGGGCTCCCTATATCAACCTAAACATCCAAGGTGCAAGGATCAGGGCAGGTGAGGAGGTGACATACCTAAGAGCACGAATCAGAAGGAATTTCGACGTAACTCCTCACCTAGAGTATCTAAGGGGTGATTATGACGATGAATGGTCTCCGATGAATCGAGGTTGCGTTCTGGGGCCTCAGGTACCCCGCAACTATGACTATACACACAGGAGTCATCTTGGTTATCCTGAGGTACTCATCCCCCGCGTGGAGCCGAAGCCTGATGCAAAACCACAAGCGAAGACTGGCCACCATACAACGTCCGGTTCTGCTGAGTGTCACGAGAGCCTACAGAACGGTGTCCCACGAGGCGATGCAGGTGCAGGCCTGAGCGATTTCCCTGGAACAAATCCTCAAGGACGCATGAAAGTTTTAGATAAAAAGGCAGGAACTACAGACGCTACCGGAGGGACTCCGAAGAAGAATCGACGAGAACCCCAACCAATGGAAGAAGATAGTCAGGGAGGAATCCATTCAGGAGTGGAACAGACGGTAGATGACAATCCGGAAAGGGTCCACTCTCAGAAAGTTTTTCTCCACCGTCCAAGATAGAATCAAGGCGACCTGGTCCACTCTGATTATTGGGTCTCGCAGATTCTCACAGGACGTGAAGGGTTTCGAGGAAAACTGGCTGACCATGGGAAGGATATTGAACCCCGGTGCCCTCCCTGCGGAGTCCCTTAGACGGTCGAACACATCGTAATATACTGCACCGAAATGGAGGGATGCCGTGCAAGGCTGTCGTTAAAAACCGGTATCTTTAACCTCACGGAGGCGGACTTCCCCCGCCTTGTCGAAGAAGAAAATTACCCATTCTTCCATGAATATGTATGCGGGTGGAAAGAGCTGGCGTGCCCTTCAAACTTTACTCTACATATGGCAAGAGTACCCCCACTGGGAGTAGAAAACGAAAGATGCCGAAGATGCCTAAAGATGCAAGTAACTTAAAATTTACATAAGGTGTGGCTCCACCAGTAAAGTACACAGCCGTGTACCGGGTTACACCACAGTTCCCTAAATTACACAGTTATTGTTCCAAAAATTAAAATTACCTTATATTATGTAAAAATAAATAATGATTTAAAGTGTTGTTCATTAGCAGCAGTGGGCATATGAGAACCCCAACGTATTAACCCACTGCTGCCAAAACTCCGTATGGCAGAAATGCCAGGTAGGGCAGAAAAAAAAAAATATATATTATATATATATATATATATATATATATATATATATATATATATATATATATATTTTTCCATGCGGACATTCCATTGCGTAAAACAGTACTGGAAGTCTTCTTCTGTCTTCTCGTTCAGGATGCGTGCCGCTTTCTCTTTCACATCAAAAGCGCATTCAAATCTAGTTTCTTTCAATGCAGATTGTCGAATCTTGATTTTTTACTTATGATTCTGGACGAAGAGTCAATCCATACCCTGGAAAAGCCCAACTTCATAGAGAACTAAAAAATTTCGAATGAGCAAATATAAATTCATAGCAATGATTTTTTTTTCTCGATATTAATGGAATTGTGTACCTTCACTGAGTTTCTGAAGATCAAACTATGAATCAACATTCATAATCTTGCTGAAAGATAAAAAGGTATGCGACTTGAAAGACGTGATGGAAGACTTTCACATCGTTTCAGATAATGTAAGGTACGCATGCTGCTTAGTAGGAATAGAGGAGGGGTGGTCTATTGAAGGTGTTGATAAGTAAATATAAAATCAAAATATTAAATTTTACAGTAGTAATTGTTACCCAACTATAGAAGATTTCACGTAACAAAATAATTCTGATATTTATTTATTTTTTTAATTCACGCCCTTTCATCTAGTCTTCTATATATATAAAAATGAATGTCTGTCTGTCTGTTTGTCCTTAGTGCATTACTAAACCATTCAACCGATCGCCATGAAACTTTGGGAAGTTGTTCCGTACACTCCTGGGAAGGTTTCTGGCATAGTACTTCTGTCTTACGATAATTTTATATATGTAAAAAAAAAAAATAAAAATGTAAATGTTTTTCTGTTCAAAGCCGCAAAAAATGTGTCGCTATAAACTGTAGCGCCAAAACGGCTTTACCGATTCTAACGAAACTTGGCTAAAGTCTTCCCCTTGAAACCCTTTTAATTTATGTGTATAACATACTTTCCCGAAAACAAGCTGAAAAATGTTACGATGAATTCAATATTTTATTTGACGAATTCTATCTACGATCCTATTTAAGTAAAAAAGTACACAATTTTTGACTGATAATACTCACATTTATTTGAAAGATTTCTGAATCGCTGACAAAATAAAAAAAAAATCATCGAAATCGGACGGTTCGTTGCAGAATTATTGAGTTTTAAACATTTACTGCTTTCTCTTCTGAAAAGGCCGTTTCCTTTTGCTTCCTCACTACAGAACGTCGGCAAGCATTTTTTTTTTTATTGATTAATTGAAAATTTTATAATTACTACAGTAATTGAAATTATCATTTGAAGAATTTATATGATTCTCCTTATGTAGGTCAATACTATTATACGTTTTTTTTTATTAACTTTTTAATTTAGTTTTATAAGTTCAACTCAGACTATTTCTGATGAGTATGAATGACGGCGTATTCACTCAGATGATTATGAATGCTCAATTTGAATCATGAGAAAAAAACCCATTAGAATTAGTTTAAATTGAAGCCATTTTACAGAAAAATTTGTTTTCCAACTTTTTAAAAATGACAGATGTCCTTCGCTACTAATCTGCTCATATGTGCTTTCTATTTTCTTTCTTTTTCATTTTTCCAGGCTAAGCCACAGCAGTGCGTGGCCGGGTAAAGCTAGTTTTATTATCTTCAATTCGTATCCACATTAGGTCATCTGGACAAACTAATTCCAAAGTTTTACTAACCACAGGAAATCATATAAACACAGTTCTGAACAAACTTTATTAAATAAAATAAAAATATCGCAACAACTGAATATTGTTGCGAACACCTCCGGCGATGACTGTACTGGGGTTCAGCCAAAGAAGATCCCTGAAATCTCCTGACCATTCCAGCCGGGAGTACAACCTGCCCAGACGTTTTCCTTTCAGAAAATCCCAGGCATCCAATGAAGCATTCACAAAAAGAACCTTCAACACATCACCGTGAAATGAAATTTCTAAATTAATTATAATAATAAGATTATTAGTTATATTTACTGCTAAAAGATAACATAAAATAATATTACGTAATATCATCAAGTTTTAGCATAAGGGATGTTTTTTTGTGTGAATGGTGTGTTTTCATCAGAGTTGCCCGGAAGGGGATTTTATGGCGTAAGTTGCGTCATCAAAATTTTTGAGGGGGCATATTTCGACTGGGTTATGATTTTTCGAAATGAAAAGTTTCTAGTTAGCAAACAAGAGGAAAGCATAGAATAAACTACCGAAACTATTATTGAATATGGCCTATGATTTTTAAAATTCTATTTAGCTTGCACTGATTTTAAGAAGAGGAGAGCAATGAAATATCTTGGAAGGAGAGGGGAAGGCTTATACGCCTTTGACATTGGGAGGGGATGTACACCTCTGTTTTTCATGAAATAAATGAGTGAAAGCACTGGCGGATCAATGAATATTAGATTGATTTTGAAAATGTTTTAGAGATAATCAATGATTGGTTATTTTTTATATCAAGATTATAGATGGATTAAAACAAAAAGTAAGATTCGGACCAAACATGCACTCCATCCTCAGGAATAAAATTAATTAGGAATACACACAAAATGATAAAAACAAAGGAAATAATTGACAAAAGAAAAAAATAAGAAACAAAAAAAAATATAAATAAATAATAGTATGTATGGTATATAATTAAGTAAATATATGATTATATAAAGATGTAGACAAACAAAAGAAATCTAAAACATTTATAATGGTAAAATATCAATCGTTATCACTTTTATAGATTCGCAAACCATAATTACAGCGTAAACTACAATGATAGAGATTATCAGCAAATAACTTCGTAGAACTTGCCAGATAACATATCTTTAAAGTGTGACATAGTTAAATATGTCTGAAGTGCTATCTCGATTTGAACAAGTGCTTTAAGAATGTTTCCGGAAAAACAACATGACATATTCCGAAAAATTATAGTCACACAAGTTATTATTGATAATAAAAACAGTAAGTTACAACCAGAGCTGAGCTGAAAAATGGCAACTGGAGTGTCGTCAGATTTCATCTAGGTCTCATAACATTATGGAATGTGAAAAGTAAAACTAGTAAACTTGAAAAAATTAGCACTGTTGAACGAAATTAGATCATTAACTCGATCTAGATCTAGATAGAAGATATAGTAGTTACAAATCCTGGTCATCAGAGATTTAGGATTATATGCGTATTAGTTTCTCTAACTAAACCAATAAGTAGTTTCTCTAACTATACCAATACTAAAAGGAATACTTTTATGAACTCAATGAAAAAGGACTCCTTTTAGCCAACTAGAACTCCTTTCAACTGGTTGTATTGCAGAATTAACCTGTTTGATGTTCTTTGTTTCTTAAACATTAATGTAAAACCGCGTTAAAGTATAGATTGAGCATCCATAAAATAAAAGGAGGCAACGGGACTGTTTAAATTTATAATGAAGTAATTATTTTATAAAAGCGTCTCTGCGATCTAATTGACTGAGAGGATTGTTCTTAGATTTCATATAATGTTGTTACGGAACGTTCATGTAAAGCTAGTTATGTTAGGTTAGAAAGTAGTGATCGTCCTAAATCCTGAAATGACTGACAGTTACTTAACACCTAGAGATTTCAAATCGAACATTTGAATTTAAGTTAGGCCAATAGAAAAGTAGAGTTGGGTCGCAAAAAGTAGAGTAATTTTTATTTTAACATTTTTTTTTTTTTTTTTGTTCTTCCCTACCTCGCCTTTAGGCTATACGGGATTTTCCCGGGCCGGGGGGTGAGGGCGGGGAATCTAAAATCCCATCCGGCACCGGGATGCGAACTCGTACTTTTTATATCATCTCAAATCTCTGTTATCCGGTTGCCAGGCAACTAGCTGTGCTGTGCACACGCTTTAGCCTATTCGGCTACCCCGCCCCCTATATTTATTTTGTTTGAGGAATGGAGCCATTGGTGGGTGAAAATCCCGAAAGAGAATACTTCCCACTGAACAATTTCGACTAGACCACAATGAGTCCTCCCAAACTATTGGGCATCGCTATTCCTTAAGGAATATGGGGATTTTCGAGCTAAGCCACATAGACTTGTCCGGGACATAGGTCCTCATCCCTTGTGGGATTCTGGAGACGGTCGAGCACATGATCAGGAGCTGCATTCGAAGAAAGGAGAGTTAGAAATGCGGGAGTTTACGCCCAAATGGTGGACGAATTTCCTTGGTTGGTGAGTAAGGAGAATTTCTCGCGGTTCAAGAAATTTATTTATGACTGAAAGGAGGCAAATTTATTTATGTATGTTGTGTGTATTGATTCCCTTATTAAAAATTCATTTATTCGATCTCCCATCCTTTATGTGTTTCCAACACCTTGAAATAACCATTAGCAAACATTTTTTTTCTTTTGTTTTTTTTAGCTACTGGTTTCCAGTGTGTTTTAGAATTACAATGTAATGAAATGAAAATGAAAATAGATTTTTATTATCCTGGGACTTTTGTCCCTTTAGGACAATTTATAGATACAGAGGAAATGCCTGTGTGATCATAAAATTAAATTAAATATTTACAATACTCATTAAAATGAAAATATTGGAAGAAAAATACATACAGATATATACAATACAAACATGTGAAAATAAAATAACATAATTAAACCAAACCATTTCTGGAAGAACTTAAAAAGTTCTCTTATCTACTTTTCATGATCAATCAGGTTGGGAAAGAAGTACGTGCTTAAAAAGGAGAGATTTAAATGAGGAAACTGATTGGACATGTCGGTTATCGGTAGGGATGGTATTCCAGATGGAGACGGCTTGAATTATAAAGGATTTGTGAAACGCAGCAGTTAGGTGAGGAGCTGGATAGAGGTCAGAGGTACGAGATCTAGTGAAACGGGATTGAATGGAATATTTAAATTGTAGGCTGTGAAAAATATAGGAAGGTCGCTGAGTTCTGATGGCTTGGTATAGAAAGGTAGCAAGGAAGTACAAACGGCGGTTGGATGGATAGAGCCACTTCAACTTGGTATAATACCAGGTTATATGCGTATTTCTCGAGATTCCGAAAACAAAACGTATAGCGCAGTTCATCAGGCGTTTAAGCTTGGCCTCAGATTCTCCCGAGAGTCCGCCGTACACCAGACAGCCATAGTCGGGGGAACACAAGGGAATAAACCAGGAGTTGTCGGGATTTATATGAAAGGAGATAGCTGAGACGGTTAAACTGTTTCAGGGTAGAGATAGTACGACGGGAAATTTGGGAGATGTGTGGTTTCCAGGAGAGAGTTTAATGAAAGGTAACATCTTTTTTACGGAAGTATGCAATGAGATAGGTGAGTTGTTCAGGAAAAGATTGGGGAGTATCGGTAAGGATTTGAGGAGTGAGGGAGTTCGGTGTATGTAATGTGAGTTAGTAAAAAATGATACTTTATAATTGAGATCAAAGGGATCTTACTAAAATTGTAGAATGAGCATGCCTCATGAAGCCAACTGAAGCTCCTACCGAAAATGTTCTCAGTACAACGTCTGTCTTTGGGTTCCAAACTGTAATTATGGAGTTCTCGCTATAGACCACGACGCTGGTCGCCACCGCGCTCACTATAGCCGATGACAGCACCTTCGATCGGACGAGGCGATACGACATGTTCCACACCCAAAGCATGGTCATCTTCACGTCGGAGGGGTGGGGGATCGCCAGGATGTACTCGCCTCCGAAGACTATCCTCTTGAAGCCAATCACCGATATTACTTTTTCCGCCTCGTTTTTAATCCAGCAATACCTACGGTAAATAATTTTCAGACAAATTACAAGTAAAATTGTAGTTAATCATTATATAAAAAGACAAAAACAAAACAGTTCAGTATCTTTTTGTCTACTGTTTTATGGTCGATTTTCTTTATTTTTTTTGTTTTGTAGTTATTGACGAGCTTTAGAGTTATCAATAAAAAAAAAAAATTGGAAACAGGGTATATAAATTTTTATTTTTTTTATTTATTAGTTATACATATTTCTGGCTCACAATAAATTTGCCATCTACATCGGTATTCAACAAATATGATATCAAGGACAAGAAATGATAGCATAAGAAAAAAAAAATAATAGTAATAACAAAACAAAAAGATTAAAAAAAACGAACAAAAAAAAGAACAGTAGTAAAATAACACATACATATTAACAGAATAACACACACACACACACAAAAGAAAAGATAATGCAGCAAGTAGCTCAATGCAATAAGTCTCTTGGCCTGCGCCTCAGCAGTCTTCTGGGCGGATTATATAGATTTGTGGCAGTAGATAGAGTTTGAGTAAGTGGATTTGAATTTAGAGTCAGTCTGTCATGAAAGTTATTAAAGCGGTCAGTGGCAGTTGCCGTGATAAAAGGAGTCTTAAGGTCAGTGTGTAACGTAAGTTTTGAAACATAAAAGGGTGCGTCTACAATTTTCCGAAGGACTTTTGACTGGATGATTTTTATATTTGATTTCTTTGATGTTCCCCATAGTTCGATTCCAAATATTTAATGAGGAGTTTGTAAATAGTTAATTTATTAGTCACAGATAATTTAGAACGTCTGTCAAGTAGCCTAGAAAGAAGTCCGTATCGCTGATTAAGTTCTTTTCTTTTTTGTTTTATGTGGTATGTCCATGTCAGTCGTTTGTCCAAGTAGAGACCCAAATATCGTACAGTTTTTGAAGATGGTAGAGCGATATTATTAAAGAACACTGGAGGACAACAGTCATGTTTAAGTGTAAATGAAACAAATTGGCTCTCAGACTCGATCATTTTTATTCTCCAGCTTTTAGCCCAACAAGCTATGTCGTCGCTATGGGTATATAAATAAAAATGTAAATGTTAGTTTCTTCATAACCATTAATCTAATAAAGTTCTTAATCGATTGCTTTGAAATTTTGAGACAATCAAATTCAGGAGTTTTTAAATACATTTCATCACCATCTTTTCATTTTGAAATGCCGAAAAAACATGAGTCACTATAGCTCCAAAACGGTTTTAATGAGACTTGGCCAAAGTTTTCTCCTTGAAGCCATTTTAATTTATGCATACAATATTATTCTCCCAAAAGAGGCTGCAGAAAAAAGTAACGATTGATTCAGAATTTTAATCACGAATAACTCAAAAAGTACACAATTGTATTATCAAGCCTGTGAATATTTGAAAAAATTTTAAGTTTCCTATGAAATGGAGAAAAAAAATCATCGAAATCGAAAAGAATCATGTACGGTAAGATATTTTTTTCAGTTTATATTTTTTAGGAGAGCTCTATAATGAAAAAATTATATTTGCAATAAGTCAATGTTGAAATGAAACAATTTATACCGACCGAAGGAACAAAACGGGTTCAAATATTTTTTTGAAAACATTTATGATGGGTTCACATTTTAATTTGACAATAATTCAAAATGTACACAAATGATACTGCACTGTTTTCTTTTTTAAGTGCATATAAAAGTGAATGTACGAATATATAAGATTAGAAAAAAAAAGTTGGAAACATGCAAATTTATTTATGGTTTCCTTCAAATGTCAAACAATAGTTATGGTCGAATTTAGACCACTTTTTGAACACTAGTAAGTCTAATTAGTAGTTATTGACATAAACCATTTTCCATAATTTATAATTTTTGGGTAGAAGATTAGAACATTATTTTAATGTTCTCTCGATTAAGAGAGGCCTGTCAGTTAATTCAGATGAAAATTACCTGTTGACAACAGTTGGACTGTTTCCACTTATTACGTATACATCGCCACAGTTCTCGACGATACTCCTGATGTTGATGAAGCCAGTAAGATATGCCTTCGGGGTCCCGCCCATCGTCCAGATATCAACTGCTGTCGAACCTCCAACACTAGCAAAGCACATGTTCTTGTGTGCTAAGAATTTTAACTTTCTCATCGGATAAACATCGTAATTTCTTAGGCATTCTTTATACCAGAGGTCGAATTTCGTTCCTGTGGATTATTATTATCCAGTTACTTACATTTTCTAAAAGTTTTTCCTACATATAATCTAATCCTTACACTAATAACAGACTTGATTCTTGATCTAGAAGTTGTGTTTAAGTACTCAGAATTTCAGCCCCCAGACAGGCGGATCAACAGGGGAAGGAGCCTTTCGAACTGAAGCCTCTCCAAAACTAAGTCCTGGATCCGTTAGTGACAATCAGGGAAGATCACTCTAGACTTTATAGAACCTTGTAGTTAACTAATTTTCCCCGTTATGTGTGTCAGGAAAGTAACCTTACTTATATAACATCAAGAGCAACATCTTGCTTTTAGACTAATTATTGGGTGTCTGACATTGTGACTACTATTGAAGACTAATAATCCCGTGCGAAAAATTCGCACAGTATATTGTTATCAAACGCCAAATTAATAAGAAAATGCAACTTATTAAAAGATTAAGACATCAAATGTTACTTTATCGATAAATATAATCCACATAGGAAACAAAAATTAATTTAAATCTTCATTTTTGTTTGGAACCAACATGTATACAAATTTCAGTAAGCTGTATATTTGCTAAAAATTGTCCGATTGCGATGATTTTTTTTTACTTTTGTAGGGAATTTAGTAATCTTTTATGTAATCATGGGAATAGTGTGTAATTTTTCAGTTATTCGCAAATAAAGTTTATTTTCTTTCATAACTTGTTTGCCTGAATTTTCTGGGTGATTGGACTATTTTGCCAGCCTGAAGGAGAAGTAAGCCTTCGAAATTGGTGGCTCAATCTTGAGATTTGGTGAAAAATTAACGATGATATGGCTTGCCGATCAAAAACACCATCGATGAATAATATAAACTCCCCTTCTCTCGATCATAGAGACCTCAAGTCGACGAAATGAGACATGTATTCAATGACAGTACTACAATTAATGTAAGGTTGTCTGGATGCGAACCCTATGCCTTGCGTTATCTCAAAAATAGTACGTTTTTCGGCTTAAAAACGCAGGATCCGATAGTTCCGGAGGAACTATTCGGGTCTTGCTGTACGCGTCAAAATCTTTAATATCCAATTTGTCCCGTATCGATCTACAGACCTACCACCGTTCCAGTATCGAAGCCTAGCAAAATGTTTGTATCGACTTTATTTATTTTAGAAAGAAAAACAAAAGTGGAGAATACGATTCGCTAACCCCCCGTGAAATTCTGAATCCAACGGTACTCCATTCGTGGTATTTGAGCATTAAAGGAGCTTATATTCGGTACAAAACCGATTTCGAGCCTTAATAATATTCGAGCCTTATATTAATAACTGTAATAATATATGTACGGATGTTGCTCTAGATGTTATATACCTAGATTTATTATAATTTGAATTAGAAACTGACGATGGAGCACATTAGATTTAAGCCGTGTATCCACAAGATCGTTGCGATTGTGGTTCTGAAGAAGGGAGTAAATATCCCGAAACGTTAACTTGTAAACATGCAATCTGGTAATACAACAAATAAACTTAATTGTTGTTAATTGGAAGTAATCATTGTCAAATAACAAAGAATAAAAATTACTATTGCTTGTAAAGAAAGTAAGGGACAAACTGAAATTTAAACCCTCTGTAGTGTTTAATGTAAGAATGGGAGATGTAAAGACTGGAAATAAGAAAATCGAGATATAGTCCAGTCAACGAACGTTTAAAAAGAAAGTATAGAAGGTAATGACGGCTACACAATTTTTGACTTTGGGACATTGTTTGGATTAGTATGTTGGTAAACATACTAAAAGTCCCCACTCATACATATTGAGCCAGATGTGGAGGGAGGGGAGGCGTCCAGAAGGTCACTTTTTTGGAGTTTCGCTTATAACAGATAAACTCCACAAAAAAGTTAATACAAAATTAAAGTTGGTAAAATGTGTAATATGATTAATTATATACCTTCTTTCGTTATCTCGCTTAGTTTTTGAGATATCATAACTATCGCTATATGGAGAAAAATTCTTCATCACTTCGTTCTACGATTAAGTCATGGTGAAGAAAGTTTTTAATAATTAAATTTTCTTCAAGAATATATAGTATTTTACTAGTTTATCTTCAACGGCTCAAAAGTTAGATCAATTATAACTTTATTTATCAATCCCGAGAACTTGCAGAAAAAAATAATTTTTATAATATTCATTATTATATGTATATGTATATATACATATATATTTAAATGTATAGAGAGCAGAGATGGGCAAATGCTACACTGAATACTGAGTACCAAATATTTTACTCATATTTTGACCGTTTTGTAGTACCAAAATTTATATTACTACTTCATTTGATTTCAGACGATTAACTGAAGTAATGATTGAATTCTCAATAGTGATTCAATTTGAGTAAAATACTTGGTACTCGGTATTCAAAGCAGCATTTGCCCATCTCTGCTTTCTATACATTTCAATCTCTATGTATATATATACATATACATCCATATAATAATGTATATTATAAAAATTATTTTTAACTGCAAATTCCATCTCTGATAGAGAGTTAGAACAATATAATTACGAATATTATAAAAATTAATTTTTCCTACAAAATCTCCGAATTTCCTTCTATAATCATTCGTTGACTGGTCTAATATTCAAGTTAATAAAGTTAATTACTGAAGGTAACGTTTTTTGCGTTGATTAAGTTATTCCCTTGCAGAATCAAATATACAACTTTTGGACGTCAATAAAATGAAATAGCTTTTTTAAGTTAGTAAAAAGTTGAATATCCTGATTTTCTTACACAATTACTATCATTATATTCCAAGATTTGTGCAGTTAGCTAAACTATGTATACTATCAATGATTCATTGGTAATTAAATTATGGTTATGGAATTATTATGGAATTATTAAGGTAGAAGAAAACACCATTTACAAAAAACAGAAGATTCAGATAAAAAATATTTATAAATAAATTAAAATGAAGAAAGATATGAGCTGAGAGACAGCAAACCTATATTAAGCTTAGTGATAATGTCATTCAAAAGGTTGGTGGACAGAAAATGTCATTCATATTTCAGGTCACGTTTGTGGATCTTTTCTGACTTTTGCGGACCAATAATAAATTCGAAGCGTACGTATAACCTTGTGCCGTAACATTTATTATTACTTAAATACCTAATAATCCTAAAAGTTTTTGAGCTTTTGGAAAATGAGAATAATCTTTGATTTAGGGTGACAGCCTTATTTTATTACAAATGAATTTTAATTAAGTGAGCAATACATCGAAAGGGGTCATGCTGCTATAATAATAATTTTAAAAAATCTTTTCTGGTGCATCACACAACTTTTCCTTAATACCCTACTTTCAGTAGATATTAATTTTATAAAAAGTTAATAATAAATTATGACAACTGTGTGCATAATATATTTTTGAATTATGAAATTAAAAATATATTTAAATCTTTCCCACTTATTTTGCATGAAGATTCTATTTTGTTTTATGGAAACAGGTAACGGGGTAGGTTAAGTTAGTTGTGCAATAAAAGAGGCCCTCATGAGGTACACCAGCTTACATAAAGTGGGTATTCTTAATTAAATAATTCAATTACGAGGAAAAACCTGGCGGTTGAATGTGGTCTCGGTTAAATGCCTTCCTTGAATAACCTTTTACCTAGAACAAGTACTTCCTTATAAATAAAAATACTGTACCCAAGACCATTCATGGATTGTAGTTGTACAGTTTTTTTTCAATGGAAATATTTATTTCTCATTCGAAAACCAGCAATAATAATATAAGTAGACATTAATAACGATAAGAATTAAAATTTATTAGTTTTGAGTCATTTTACATTACCTTCTACGACTTTGTGCGTTAAATATTAAGCTTTCTAAAATCTTTAGCTTTTCAATAATATATAATACGTCTATAATACTGCTCTTATTTATGTAAATTCGTTTTGTTCCACAATGGACTTAATACTTACCCAATAATAATATTGAAATTAATTTTACTCCCATTTAAACAACTAATCTTATTAAATGTGCCAATTGATAAATCATGTAGTGACAATTCCGATATCTCAAAGGACAACGCTATCTCTGATAGCTTACAAATAGTTATCTAAAAGGACCGACAAAACACAATACCCTTTATCAAGACTCAAGTAACAATAACAGATTTCGGCAAAAAGTCCCTTTCTCACAGACTTCATATCAACATTAATGGATATCAACAGGGATGCCCATTCCTTCCTCCCCATCCAAGATCGATGGCGAAAAAACCTGTCCTTCCCCTCCCAAGATATTTTATTGCCCACCTTTTCTTAAAAACAGAGAAAGCAGACGTAAATTAGAAAAATCGTAGATAACATACAATTATACTTGCTGCGGTCTGTTCCACGTTTCCTCCTTGTCCCTTAGTCTGAAACTTTCCATTCCGAAAATTCATAACCCTGTAGAAATATGTCCCCCTCAAAAATTCAAAAACCCGTTTAAATGTTCCCCCCTCAAACATTTTGATGACGCAACTTGCGCCTTGAAGGCCCCTTCTGGACAACCATGGATATCAATATCAATTATTGATAACTTCCTTTGCTGCCCTCTTTCGACATCCCCCATCCTCGCTAGTATTCTTACGTATATTAATTCCTATGGTCCTCAGAAAAAATCACTCCTGCAGTAACATTGTTGTAGTGACAATCTTATCGGCGGACCTAGATCCACGATCTTGTTGTCATACTCATGTAGAAGACCTGGAATGAACTCTATTTGTCAATCCATGTAGTTACAGTATATAATGTGCCGTATGTAACAGACATTATAAATAAAAGTGTTACTTTTGAAGTCCTCACTGTATCCAGAAATCACTGCACAACGAATCGTCAACTGTTTGCAAACTGCGAAAATATTTCTTTCTTTTTCTCTTTTAATTAGTAACCAGATATATTTGTATTTCATCTCCATACATTTTGCTTTAATACTATAAAATAAATTTCATTTAAAAATATCTGGTGTGTCCACTCACACGACTTTCCTACCTGCATATTTCAGAAAAGTTTTTATATCTTTACATATGTTCACGAAGAAACGAAAATAATTGAACTAGATACATTTTTCTGAAAATTGATCAAACATAAGATTTGAGTACGATTTATTTGATAAACTAAAGCAATGTAAACCGGCTTAAGGTAGATCAGTGTAAAAATTTCCTAATATTGCTGATCAAAAACTTTTTGTCATAGCTTAGTATACAATAATTTCTGTTAAAAGTAGAGGAAATAGTGAAGATTGTGTGATGCGGGCAACAAATTTTCTTACTTTCACTTAGTCATCCTTATTCCCTCATTCACCCCTTTCTGGCACCAGGATATGAAACCGTAATCTTACATTGGAAATTGAATAGCCATGAACTTCTTTAATAGTAGTCCAAAATGAACAATTTTTATATGGCTTTGCAGGGAATTTTTCCGTATAATATATACTTAGGAAGTTAGGCCCCATCAAATTTTTCTTTTCTTTATAACTTTTATTCCTGAATTTTTTCGGGAATTTAGTCTATATACAAAAATTTATTTATTTATTGCGCGCAAGCTTTTGCGCATGGAACACCGAATTTCTGTCACAGGCATCAGTAGTCAAAACCCTACAAAATAAAAAAAGAAACAACAAAATCGGTTCAGTAGTTCCCGAGAAAATCTTGGCACAGACAGATCAATGGCTAAAAATTTGTTTTTCGGACTCAGGGGGCTCTGAAACGTATAGATCCGTCGAAAACCGCATGTCGGAAATTTGACCCGATTGCAATACTTTCCTTACCTAGTATAGGTAGGAAAGTAAAAAATCAAAATTAAAGATACTTTAGAGAATTACGTTTTGAAAATTTGACAATGAAGCTTCTTCAGACAATTTCTGTAATGATGAGACCAAATCGATTTTAAAGATCATTTAATTTTACTTCAGTTTTAGGAGGCAAATCAAAATATATAGAGCCTTTTTCGAGAAAATGTGTAAAATCGATGGTCTAAAGTGGTCATTCTGGTAAGTCAATTTTAGTAAAAAAAGTTACTTTAATATTCTGAACACATGCCTAATTTTTATACCTTATTAGAGTAGTTTTTGTTTTACTTACTAATAGTTAATTAGTTAAAAACAAAATAATAACATGTTATGCTAAATAATGCTACTACGTCAACAAATTGCTGGCTTCCCCTCCCAAGCCTGTATATATACTTCCTCATTTGTAATCCCTTCAGTAGACATGTCTTCATATCCCAGTTTGCTATTCCAGATAGCGGTAGTATCATTAATCTAGTGTACTCGTTTTCATTGTAATTTAGACGAAATAAATTTTTTTTCACTTTTTGTAGGGAAGATAATTTAATTGTAAGTTCGAAGGACTAGTTATCGTGGCTTAAAATCATTGCTTCATCAAATTAATTAGTTGCTCAAGAAGAGTTTCGGAACCGTCAAAAATGTCTTTCTATGCTTTGTAGTGGTAATGAATTACGGCCCGCGAAAGTATCTTTGATTACATGATAAAATAAAAAAAATTATTAAATGTGAAATTTAGTAAATTACTCACACAAGAGGTTACTTCAACATGTTTTGCATGTTTTTTTTTTTTCTTAGAAAGCTCATTTTTCACAACTCACGTGTCATTTGCAGAAAAATATTTTTTTTCTCAATGCAGCCCCCGAACCAAAAAGTTTGGAGACTTAGCTTTATGTATGGGAGCAATTTTCGCTGCAGTATGGATGACAGACGGATCTACGGTGGAAGAGGGGGGCTTTCAGGCTGAAGCCCTTCCCCCAGAATGGTAAAATATAACCAAGTTTTACGAAAAAAATATCTCTAAAAGTATTATTGTTCGTCTAATTACATTTAATAGGACTTAAAGAATCACAAGAATTTCTTCCGCTTTTTTAAACGTTATTAGACCTATGAAACGGAAAACTGATGTTTATCGCAAGAGAATTACCGTAAACTAAAAGTATTCGAAAGGAAAATAATAAGAAGGATTTACAATGCCACAATTGTTAATGGTGAATGGAAAATCAAAAGTAACAATGATATAGAGGCTATATTAGAGAATTAAAATATTACTATCTATATCAAGGCATGTAGGCTGAGATGGGCAGGACATATAGTCAGAATGGAGAATGAACTGGTGCAGAGAAAAATATTGGAAGCACACTTCAGTGGGAAGAGGAAAAGATGAAGACCGAGAAGCAGATGGAAGGATGAAGTGGAGAGAGACGCGAAGAAGCTAGGAGTTCGCAATTGGAAGAGAGTAGCACAGGACACAGGCGGATTTACGAGGAGGGGCTTTCGGGCTGAAGCCCTTCTCCCAAAATGGTAAAACATAACCATGTTTTATATAAAAAAAAAATATTAAAAACTAACTCTTAAAGAATTATTGTTCGTGTAATTACATTTAATAGGACTTCAAGAATCACTAAGATACCGTGTCGTATGGGTAGTTAATTTCTTGCTTTTTTTTAACATTAATTATCGTTATATATGTATATATATATATATATATATATATATATATATATATATGAAAAAAAATCCTCCGGGCTGAAGCTCCCCCCCCAAAAAAAATTAAATCCTGGATCCGCTAGTGGCACAGGACAGAGAGAAGTGGAGAAAAATAACTCAGGAGGCCAAGGGTCATGCTGGTCTATAGCGCCGGGGAGTCAATTATACATAAAAACAAAAATCTTTCGGGCTGAAGCCTCCCCAAAATTATATCCTGGATCCGTTAGTGGTATGGATTATATAACTAAATAACAAGCAACAATTACAAAGTTAATAAACAACTATTGTATTCGTTATTGCACCAATGGAGGGCTGATTAAGATAAAAATGGGAATTAAGCGGATCGTAATAACTCAGCTATGTATAATGTCAGGCTTGATTGAGTGGGATATGATTATAGATAAGATTAAAGCTTTTTAGAAAAAAAAATCCAAAGTTATACATTTTATAGAGTTTCAAAACATACATGGGTCTATTAAATTGTGATAAAGGATAATTTTTATTATTTCTTTAAAATTATACAATTTGGAAAAACATGTACCCGATAAAAAAAATCATATTTCAGTTCTTACCAAGAAGTTTGGCTTGTTATAAAAGGTCCATATTACCCTCTCCAAGTTCATAGCTCCAGGGGTGAGAGCTTTCGGGAAGAAGCCTCCCCCCCAAAAAAAATGGTAAAATATAACCATGTTTTATGAAAAAAAATATCTTTAAAAGTATTATTGTACACCTAATTACATTTAATAGGACTTAAAGAATTACTTAGATACCATTCCATGCAGGCTCTTAGTTTCTTTCTTTCTTCCGAAGTAATTATCGTAATATATACATAAAAATAAAAATCTTTCGGGCTGAAACCTTTCCAAAATTATATTCTGGATCCGTTAGTGGTATGGATTATATAACTAAATAACAAGCAGCAGTTACAAAGTTAATAAACAACTATTGTACTCTTTATTGCACCAATGGATAGCTGATTAAGATAAAGCTTTTTAGAAAAAAAAAATCTAAAGTTATACATTTTATAGAGTGTGAAAATATCGATGAGTCTATCAAATTGTGATAAAGGATAATTTTTATTACTTCGTTAAAATTATACAATTTGGAAAAAAATTATATTTCAGTTCTTACCAAGAAGTTTGGCTTGTTGTAAGAGGTCCATATTACCCTCTCCAAGTTCATAGCTCCAGGCCCCAACAAGCCTAAGAGCATCAGCTTCCATTTTGTAGATCTGGAGCAGTTGTTTCTGCAGCGCCAGGATGTATTCATCACTTATCTTTATATTTGTGACGGGAGAACCCTTCAAGAGGCATTGCACGGCTTTCAGGTTATTTTCTTCCTCAGTCAATCTTAAAAGGTGGACCGACCTGAAAAAGTAATCTGTTACAAGCAAGCGGTGATGTTGCTAAACAGCTGGATACTATCAGGTACAAGTACCAGACAAAGATGCTGCCGTCCTCGTGGCCAGAGGTGAGGTGCTCCTCGTCGCAGTCCAAACAGTAGACGTCCGGAGTCTTCTTGAACACCGTCCGCTTCCACTGGCCGTCCTGCCACCGCTGCATCAGTGCTCTGTTCACTGAGTACACCAGCCGCCACAGGCACAGTGGCTCCAGTCTCGTCGAGTCAGGATCTGGAAACGATATTACGGATAATATCATCATCGAGCTTTAGTAAACGGAGCTTTCATAATTCTTCTTGTAAAATTAATGATACTTCATTGTCTAATTACTTACTGTAATTGTATTTATAAAACAAAGCTTCTTTGTACTTCTCCATAGTGCTGACGGTGAAGAGTTTACGACGGCAGTGGCGTCGCCATACTAAATCGCTGTTGACCCGCGACCTCCACATCTTCGAAACCAGTGAGCAGCGCAACAAATCATCAACCTTCAGATTGATCAGAATCTTTTCTCTCAGCTCTGTGGGAAAGTTCTCAAAGAAATCCATCTTTGTCTAGATGATTCTGTTTCTAATCTAAAACAGTTAAAAATGGCAATAATTGACTATTCGATACTTTGCCAAGTGGAAGAATAATTTAATAAAGTGGTAGATTAAACTTATATTTGTTAAAAACAGAATTGAAATCAATCACATTTAAGATAATATCTGGACAAAGTTTTATTTATACTTATGGACTTGGAGTGAAACTCCAAAAAACTCATCACTAAGAGGAGGTTCACATTAGTGTTGACAATTTTTCTTAGGGTTTATTAGTAGTACATTTATCTTAATAGTTTTAAGGATGAGAAATTGTCATGATTTTTAGTCAAATATATATATACTTAACAAAAATGGGTGAACATTCCATTGTAATATCGCTAAAGGATACCTGTGCTGATTATTTTTATATGAGGGTTCCACTGAAATCTAAAAAAAAGTTTTAGAACAGGAATCGATATAGAATCTCCAGATTCACTAGGTTTTTTTATTTTTATTTGAATTTTAATTCTGATTACACCAAAACAATAAAAATATGAAAATATCCTTAATAAGTAAATAGAACTTTTATATGACATGAAATTATAAGTGTGCGAGTATCACAGAGGTCCTCGTTCTAAATGTTGTAAGTTCGATTCCGAACTGAGTCAATAAATATTTATTTCTCAGCGAATGAATGAATCTTGACAATCCCATTCTGGTTAGTACGTGGCGGAAACCACTTGATGGTTGCACCACAGGCGGATCTACGGGAGAGGGGAAGATTTTGCGCTGAAGCTCCCCTTCCCCAAAAATGGCAAAATATAATCATGTTTTACAGAAAAAAAATATTAATAACTATCTCTTAAAGTATTCTTGTTCGTTTAATTACATTTAATAGGACTTCAAGAACCACTTCAACACCATTTCATATAGGTAGTTAAATTCTTTCTTTTTTTTGCAAATTAATTATCGTTATATATATATGAAATAAAATCTTTCGGGCTGAAGCCCCCCAAAATTAAATCCTGGATCCGCTAGTGGGTTGCACTAACCTCTAGCAAAATGGACCTCAAGGCTCACTTCCATTTTCCCTCTCCAGTAGTAACAATATTACTACAAGTACACAAATTAGGTTACACCAGTTCTCAGTACATTACTAACTCCAAATTATACGATGAAATTTTCTAGGCGAAAGTTTCGTTATGCAAAACGAAATCGCTGAAGGATCCATTAATTTCAGAGTGTACAGCAGTCACACCAATCGTGTTTATCTCTTCTTAATGGATGACGCGTTAAATTTTTATGCCTGGTAAAAAACTCTGCAAGGACATAACTTAATCACAATCATTAATTGCTTAGACGAGATCGTCCTCTCCAGCTCGCAATAAAAGATTCAGATTCAACTCATTATAATTATCGGGCTTTCACAACCTTCATGCATATAAAATAAGTCATGACGTTATACTTTTAGAGAGAATTGGAAGTCTGACTCACAAGCAAACAAGAATAGCTATTCTTGCCACAATCGATAAGATAACAGCATTTTAGGTTTAAAACGTTGTCTGGTAATAGTATGAGATAAGCTTTGAAATGAATGAAGGCTGTACGAGTTTAGATGGTAAATGGTAAAACTGAAATGCATTTTTGCATAGAAATTGAATTTTAAACATTTATTATATGCACTTTTTTTTCTGAAGATTCAAAGTTTTATCTAATTATTTATATTAGTTAGTCGAAATTTATATTAGTTAGTAGAAATATTTTGATGAAATAACGTTTCATGTCTTTAATCCAGTAAATGTTTAATGGCGTTTTAGTTTGTTGTTGTTCTCAGGAGTGCCCAGAAAGGGGCTTTATGGAGCAAGTTGTGCCTTAAAATTGTTGAGGAGGACATATATTTAGCTTTCTCTGTTTTTAAGAAGAGGTGAGCAATAAAAAATTTTGGGAGCCAGGAAAACTTCTTGCGCCATCGACTTTGGGGGGATGGGCACCCCTGTTTGTTCTAGTGTATTAATCATAATTAATATTGAAGATAAAGATATCCGCAATAGACACTGAACCAGTAATAGACAATTTTCAATTCATTAACAGAAAATAAGTTTTATAAGCCAAAAATAGATTGAAAATATGAGCAGATTTGAAGCCAGTAGTGTTAGCAGTTAACAGGGTGATGCTTGTACATCAAGCGATATTATATCAAAGTGACCGATCATTTTTGCGAGATAAGTTTAAAATTTTGATACATTCGTATTAGTTTGCGATTTTTTAGATTAAACCTTTGCAAAATTTATCTTGGGTTTGTTAAATGCTATAAAAAAAAAAGAAGAAGTATTGACATCAAAAGAGCGTCTATTTCTGGTACAATAGATCCTGTCAGAATTTCCCAATATTTTCATGAATAATTAAATTATTGACTATACAAAAAAAAAAATCGATAAAATTTTACATTTTCTGTCATTTAAACCCATTTGCAAACATTCATCGTCAGAACTAAAGCTGTAGTTCAAATTAGTGTTGAAAATTTTTCTTAGTGTCTATTAACAGTACACTTATATTAAAAGTATTAAGGATGAAAAATTGTCAGGATTTTTAGTCAAAATACTTTTAATGAGTTAGCCGACGTTTCGTCACAAAATGTGGGTCATCATGAGGGCTAAATATTAAAAAATATAAAATAACATCAGAAAAATGATAATATAAAAGTGTAAGAGTGAAGAATAAAAGCAGAAAAATGGTAAATATAAAATTATTTACATTTTCTTCTCCTATAATTTTGTATTTATCAATTTCTGTATTTTATTCTGTACTCTTACTACTATTATCTTATTACTATTGTATAGTTTGTTTATTCTGATTATTATTATCTTGTTACTGTTCACTGCACTATTATCTTGTTACTGTTGTTATTCTTCATTCTTATACTTATCGTTTTCCTGGTGTTATTTTATATTTTTCAATTTTTAGCTGTGATGTTGGTGTGGGTCGGGTAACCCATTAAAGATATTTTGAATGCAAATCCTTGAGGTAAGGTAAAAGAAGCCGACTCACAACATAGGTCGACAAGGCACTTACCTCAAGCAGCATAATTTGAGTCGAATTATATTTTTTGATTCAAACAAATTAGTTCGAATAATAATGAAAAACAGCTCTCAATTAATGAACAAGAAAAGAACAAAAACTTCTCAAATGAAAAATATTTATGATTTATTTGGGATACCTGGATGGGGGAGAATTAGTTATCTTCAGAGGCAATAATCTCTTTATATTAGCATAAACGGAAGAAACTTGAAAAAACCTTGTTTTTCATATCTTCTACAGATAAATAGTTTGCTCAAAAGTTTCAAGAAAGTACCCAAACGTAACTTTAGTCGCAACTAAACTATTCAGTTTTTTTACAATAAGTTGCGTGAATTTTTAATATTTGTCGTATCGAATCTTATTCAATATTTAAGAGTTTCCATCAAACAATATTTCAAAATACATTAACTTCCAACGTTTTTACTAACCGCGAATGATAAGATAGTTATTTCCTATTTTAATGAAAACTTGAACGATAAATATGTAATCCAGGACTTCTAAATAGTCAATTACCCTTCATTCTATCTATTTTTTGTTTCTTATTGTTCATATATGTATATCTACACAGGGTGTCCCGTAGTATGTTTGTGATCGTAGACCTCAAAATTTACAAAAAAAAAACCATATGAACAATGAGCCGACGCCAGAAAAATAGGAAATACAGTTTTTTTAAATTTTTGTATATGTAAGTCACGTTTTTTGTGGAATACGAAGCGATAACTAAAGAAGTACCTAATAATCATTTCACAGTAAAGTACATAAAATTTGTATTCCTTATGTATTTGTATTCTGTATTCCTTTAAATGAATTATAAACTAAATATATGAAAAATAAACCAATAATGAATGATGCCTTATTTAAAATAATTTAATTAATAATTTAAAAGAATATATTTAAAAATAATTTTCAAGCTGAATTTGATCGCGAGGAATGATATGAGCTGAAACTTCCCGGAAACCTATTATTACTCATACAAAACAAAGATGATAAATAAAAGCTGATGTATCAAAATTATTATTCCAACAAAGAGACAACCATAAATCATAATAATACCTATCATCTAGTTGTCCTAACCAAGTCCTAACTGAACCAAAAAAATACTTTTCTTGGTCAAAGAATACTATTTTGCCTTTCCCGAATCCTGCGAATTTTTAATGATTTTTCCAAATGATTCCTATACCTAAAGGTTCATTGAAAACGTTCAGATGTTTTGAAAAAGTCATGTTAGGCTACATCGATGAGGATGAAATGTATCTTAAATTGAAAACTACTTAAGGCACTTTCGGTTAGCCGATTTTGACGAAAATTTTGCTGTAATATCCCAAGCATATAAAAACCTTAAATACGCAATTTTCGTTTCGTATGACTTTTCGTTTTTGAGCTAGACTGATCACGAGATACATAAATCATTTTGCAAAACTTGGTTGTTAGGACTCGGATTCGAAAATTTTCACGATCACAATAATATTCGTTACTATTTATTTAATTTATAGCTAAGAGAAAATAAAACAGAATACAAAAATCATTGAAATTCAAGACTATGGTTAGCTAAGCTACACCTTATCACACTTTTTACATACATAATTGTTAATTATTTTAAATAATGGACGTATGTTATTGACCAAAAAAAAGACAAACCCCTCCCTCGAAATGTATTGCTTTAACTAATTTGACTGATCAATACACCATTTATTTATTATTCGTTCGAGGCAGTAACTTTGTTTCAAATGCATTCTAGCCTTTGAGCAACGCTATTTCGAGTGTTATAAGAACAAGGAAGAAATTAGCAGCAGATCTTTCTTGTACGATAAATAATTTGAAAAAATCGTCAAAGGTGGGCATTTCCATAGAATCTACATTGGAGCAAAAACCTGTCAGTATTTACGTCTTTTTGAAAAGCAATTTTTTTTTTTTTAACCTTTAGGGCAAAAACCAGCCTAAATCCTTGACTTACTGATTTTCATTTCAGAGGTGGAATAATCTAGAGTTTTATTTAATATCATTTGGCGCAATATTTATTTGATTATTTCCATCAGTGCCTATGATTAATTTTTAATTA